CTGCTGACATAAGCAGCAGCATTTACAAGTAAGTATTGACGCGCTTACACAGTGCTACAGCGTGGGCGCATGGTCTACTGCTCTGCATTACCTTTGCAATAAAGTGTAATGTTTATTTGCTTGATTTAGTTTTCTATAAAATCTCTTTAAGCGCTGCTCAAGACGCAGATTTTCCTGCCCGATTGCAGCGACGTTACCACGAGCCACAAAACATTTGCATGTAAAAGCTCTTCGGCCATTGAACCGTTTCTACAGCTGCGCTTTTGTTTAAAAAAAAATTTTTAAATTAAAATTTTTGGTGGGGGTATCGATGACTGCGTTTCGGTCGACTTGTCTTCTTTTGACTGTCACAAGGTCAAAACAAAGAAAGTTGGCAGTAATTGGTTTATGACATTGACACCTGAAAAGTCGTTACTTGCAATTCAAACTGATGTTCTTGATAAGATGTATGCATATACCACTTCATGAGAGTAATAAGCAAAGTGGCTATGGATGGACAAGCTTTATTTGTATTAAGCTAACAGTATAGGTGACATTTGAAGCGTGAGCACAGTTAAAGCTGGAACCGAGGCTGTAAGCGCCAAAAGTGGCTGCTGGACGACTGTTCAAATTTATTCCCGATCAAAGTTCTCTATTGTACTAACATGAAGAAGAACGACACAATTTCTTGCGAATTCAGCTGCATGTACACTACACCACGGCAATCTAGTCACTCACGAACATGCACCCACAACAACGTGCCATTGCTTTTGAAAACTAGATGGCATAATCACGATAATCAGATATCCGTTCGTCGCTCTTGGGTATCGTAGACATGATGTGTTCCAAAGACGTCGTTACTTTCATTCCGCAGGCCTTCCTGACCGATGGACATGAACATGTTCACGCGACCACTAGGCAATCCCTGGGAGCGCAATAGATTACCAAGCTGCGAGAGGATTTGTGACGCATTGGACATGTTCACCATGGTAACTGACGGCTCGCACGCACTCGAGCCTCCGCTCCGCAAAAATGGATGGCTCAACAAACCTCTTTCTCCAGTGATTGGAGGTCGACGACGATGGTCTCGCTGCAAGCAAGAGCGAATCACATTTTCCAGGTCTTGGTTCTGCAGCGGGGAAAACGGAATTGGTACTGCCGGATCGATGATACAGCGAAATTTATCAATGATGCTGCGAACATCCGCGAATGGGGGCTTCGAGTACACGATCTGGTAGAGAATGCACCCTAACGACCAAATGTCACTTGCGCGTCCAACCTAGAAAGTAAGCAACAGAGCATAAAAGGGTCAGGCAACGTCAACCTCGTTCACATCACAAACATTACCTTCATCTTTCCCTCAGGATCACGCTCGCCGTTGGGCAAGGTGTTGCCTTGAATAGCCTCAGGAGACATATAATTGACCGTACCGATCTGACTGTCGCGTTCGATATTTGTCGTGTCGTTTGAAGGAATTGCCTTTGCAATGCCAAAGTCGATAAGCTTAAGCGCACCATTTACAAACAAGAAGTTCGCCGGTTTTAAATCGCCTGGGTTATAAACCTCCATATTAGTACAAAAGACGTCGCTCATAATACATAACCACCAAGACCAACCGTGAATAATTCGCGTTCTGTGAATGGCATCAACAGCTTGAAGCATCTGAGTCCAAATGACTCGTAGCAAATTTTCATCCATACCACCGTTCAAGTCGCGAAGTCGCGCGCTTAGATCGATCTCACCATGCTCCATTATCTGTTACAATAAAAATGCACGCCATTTATACACATGAATGCTTCGTAAGATGCTTTTGGTATCATACCACGTTGATCTGCCGCTGTTGAAGATCTTGCTCGGCAGCAATAAGCTTGATAATGTGCGGATTGCCTTGTAAGCGTTTCAACAGCTTTATCTCATTTGTGTACTGGGCAATACTTTTTGCATCCAGTTTCTTCAACTTAATTTTTTTCAGCGCGTAGATCTTGAGATCGGGTCCAAGCATTCGATAAACTTTACTGCTACCACCACTTCCAATCTGCTCCAATTTTATATACTTCAGACCGTTCACCTACAAATTTGGACAAAAGAAGATAGGGTGACTTTTGCGCACCTGACAGAAAAATGCAAAACCCAGCTGGACAAACCACAACTCTGCTCGTTAGAGATTCTAGTGCATCCCGTGACGAGTTGCTGCTCAGTGACGCCACCAATGGAGACGACGGAGAAGATATAGAGCTTGGTGAGCTTAGGTCAACTTGCTTTTTCCTCACCGCTACACTCGGGTCAAGTTGTCGGCGCTTCGGGGAGCGATAATGATCCTTCGTACGTGTGATGGTGCTCCTATCCAGCAGCAAAGGCGCTTTTAGCGCTGTATCTGCTCTGCTGTCCAATGAACTTTTCATTCTAGGTGACAGATAATGTTCAACAACAGAGGACTTCCTGTCGGGCACTGATACGTCCATCAAAACTGGTTGTACTTCTCTGCTTTGAGGTAGGCGCTGCACTATTGCTGGTGGCACAGCTAGCGTCTCAATTGATTTCTCTTGTGGTCTCTTTTCGATAAGAGCTTGAAGTTGTGCACCTCCTCCAGTGAGCTTTGCGGGTATATCAAGCGAAACTTTAGTGTCCTTGCGGTCGGTACATGTACCTTTTCTCTCCTTCTCCTTGTCTGGATTCCATTTCAAAATATGAGAAATATCTCCCACATCAATTTTGGGTTTCAGCATTCTTTCGCACTTGATTGCAGGTGACGCACTAATGGCCTTCTCAGTCTCCTACAAAGTAGTCAAACCAGCGTCAGCAAACATGCTGCACCCCCAAAAGTCATTACATAAACAAAGACTGTCTGCAAACCTCAATTGTGGCTGTTGACTTTTCAGGCCTGGTCGGAGTTGTTTGGCTCTCCATCATAGCGTCGTCATCATCCTCATCATTATCATCGTCATCCTCGCGATTGGTGGCAATCACTCGAAGTGGTGGACCTCCTATGAAAGAAGCACTTACGCATAGTTAGGGCAGTAGTATGTCAACAAGCAAGCAACTACTCGTACCGAACGTAAAACGCGCAGGTGGCTTTCGCAATGTAGACTGTGACTTGAGACTCGACCGCGTCGGTAATAACGGTGTCGTGGGCAACGGTGATTTGTTTCCGCGATGTGGTATTTTAGACACGGTCGAGAAGCTTTCCCCGTTCCGGCCATGGGACACTGGTGTTGCATTCGACGGCGTCATCAACATGTGGTTCAAACCCAAAGTGGAAGCGTCGCATTCTCTACTATAGCTTATAGGTGTTATGTCTGCTGGAATGGTCAAAAGCTGAAGTGAAGTCGCTGCACAACCACGTGGAGTAGTAACAACTAGTTCTTCCTTATTCTGCATGCTGTTGGTCACACTGTTGCCTTGTATCTTCCTAAGTGCCTGCCTCTTGGTCTGTAACGCAAGCACTTTTTGCTCTTGCGGCGAGCCCGAGAAAGCCGCAACCCAACCTGCTCTCCCGGCAATCACCCGGTTCAGTAGCTTTTCCTTTTGTATCGATGTCAGAGCGTTATTGTCTACTCCGAGCTCCAAAATCTCTTTGGCTACTTCCTTATTTCCTACAAAAACACCATGAGCATCATATTCAAAAAGATCCCCCCCCCTCCCTTCTCACTCTGTCTACCACGTACCAGCTTCATACTCAAACGCAGCCTCTTCCTCATACCGCAACGGCTGCTTCTCACCTACTCGTCGTTTCTTCATCTCCTGAAAGTTCTGTCTCACCCCTTTCTCACTACTAAACATATCACAAAAAGTCAAACTTTCCAAAGAACTCGAGATCGAAAACACGTCGAACGTTCAAGAATCACTCACTCGCTCAATTTGGCCAGCATAATACAGATCTCCGTGTACTCTGCCGTATCTCGTGCTATCTCCACGTCAATGCACGTTAGCGCACGCTTCAATAGTCGTAACTTACTGTATAATCCTGGATTTCCACCCAATGGGCAGCGTAAAAGCTCGAGCCACGTGGCTGCCGATCGTGGAGCCTCTTTGAGTGCAATTACAAGTCAAAGACGCTGCTCAGAGGCCTTATCCAGCAAGAAAATCGATCGTGCTGACTCTCCAATGTGTAATATCTGCGTAAATTGTCCCTGTGCGTCCATATAACGCACCGTTGGCATGGGCAACTGATCCATAAATGAGTCGAGTAGCGACTTGGGGCTGGCAGGAGCGTTTGGCGCCTGGTTCTCCTTACCATTAGAGGTACAAACGAGGTCTTACGTCGCGTTGAACGGATCGAGACCGCGTCGCGTAGAGTGCGGACTCGGAGTGATGGTCGCGCGCACTGAAGCGCCTTTTTTTTCTCCTTGATCATAGGGTTAGTGTCTTTTCTGGTACCAAGATATGCAAAGTAAATGTAAAATGAAGGGATTTACTCTTTAATAGGACTCATTTTGAAATTGTTTTTTCAATGGGACTAATTTAAAAAGTCATTTTAAAACCCATGATTAATCGATGTAAACCTGGCGGCGACCTCATTTCTTTGTACATCAATTTTGTGTTGGCTGCATTCCCGAACGTATGTATGAACTAGTCACTATAACATGTAACAAAATCCATGCAATCAACTGCACAGACGTTGCAGTCGGATTTGTGAGGGATTCCTGGTCTCGCAATCTGTTTAGGCTCTGTCATCAGATTTGGCACTTACTACGGCTCTAATTTATAAAGGAACTGTGATTGTATGGCTGCTCGGTAGCATTAGATTGCTTAGTTACAACAATTCATCCCAGAACTTGCGTACTGCTTGCTACCCAGACTGGTGATAGAATTTATTCATGCATTTCAAAGTCTTTTTTGCCTTGGCAATGTTTGTCATGAACTGGTGCAGCGTCATCAGCGCCAAATCTTACGCAGTAACGGAGCATTCTAATGAGGGCGTAAGCACTAAAGCCAACCTTTTGCTACGTAGAGAAAGAGAGTACGATGCCAAGTCTAAAGAAGAGAGAGAATTTAGAGACTTCTTTAGTAGACTATCAGACATGTTTAGACGATCACCTCGCGTCGGTGCGGGTGTAGTTCATGCTGAAGATGGGACGAAAACGCTTCAAGTATCTCGTACTTATAAAGCACTTCTGGAAGCAAACGACATCAATTTAAAGGACCTCCTCAAGGGCAATAAGATGGAGATAGCGAAGGTCGTGAACGGCATTGCGGATGGCAAAATGGATCTCTTGGGGATAAGAATTTTCAAGATGTTGATGTATACTGTCGGTTTTGGTGCCGTCATGTTCGTCATTTTGGATGTAGTGTCAAAAAGGGGACCGCCCGGCGGACCTCCAGCAACCAGAACGGTTGGAACGGTTCACGAGGTACCTTCAGGCTCGGCTTAGGAGCTTTCAAGGCTTCTATATGAGCTCAATACTTGTCCTCGAAAAAGATGGAAGCGCAGCTTGCTTGGCCTGGTCGTGGGTGTATCCGTGTACGTTTCTTACTACATAGGACACACTCGAGTTGCTAAGGGTTAGTAGATAGCGTATCTCAAATCTTGTTGACTCGATAAGACATCGGGCTACTTATTCGTTGCATTAATAATAAACAACTCCAATACATTTTGACTTTCTAATGGCACTACTAGAAATTGCGCTAACTTCTATTCTGAGCTATAGTACCAGTACTACCGAAAAACTAAATCTATCGCTGAACAAACCTAATAATGGAGCACGAAATTTTATAAGATCTAAGGCACTTCACAATGGCTTCGATCAAACTCAACTCTTATTTACTTGCAATTTAGTCGCCTGCTACTCTGAGTGTTGTCACTTACCATTTAGCCTCTCGTGCTACTCTAAATGTAGTCCACTGAGGGTATGCCCAATGTGATCTCAAAACCAGGATCAATCATTACAAAATATATAGCCCGCAGCGGTTCCGTATCTTCTTTAAATTGTCCTGATGAAGCATAGAACTTGATCTATTGTTCCGTTTGACAACAAAAATGTTTGAATTGTCATGTAGCATTGGTTAATCAGCCATGGTTTGTGCATATCACCATGAGCAGCAGCGTTACCAACAACATCCCGTTACAACGGTCAGCGTCGTAGTGTCAATGTGATCGAACAGCTACTGTGCTCTGCATCCAGACTGTAGCATGATTATCAATCAGAAAGTTGACGAGCTCGTTGTGAGTAAACTTCACTGCATTCGACCACGGCAAATTTCTCCATTGATTTAGTAGATTTACCACACTCCATCCCATAGTTCCCATGCTATGCTGTGTGTTTTGCACACTATGACGCATGATCAAGACCAGGATATGTGTGTTGCTAATCACGAAGCAATAGCGCACGTACGTAGGTCTTTACTGCTCACCCTTTATCCTACTGCAACTATATACTTGACATAGAGTGAGTTGTTAAAAGGATTGATGAAGGATACTACTGTGGGCTGAAACACATGTTGCTATCATTTTTTTATGTAGCAAATCAGATACTTTAACAAATCGCACCCCTTCTCCTCAATATCGATCAGGTGCTGCAGTAAATGTAGTAATGGCCCTGTTTTACAAGAATCAGCAATTGATCAATCTATACGCATAGTTAAAATATTTATTGTTTTTATCTATCCATCAATGCAAAAACCATCCAAACGGAATTAATACAAAATAGCGAGTATAAAATTGCATATTAATTTTGAATATGGCTACCGACGTTTCCAATATAAAAAAGAGATTCCATATGAACCAAGTATTCAAACAAAAATATGGGCTTTGACTTTATCGTATCAGTAAATATTTCTATCTTAAAATTTGTTCAAATAAAACACTCTCATCTGATTAAAACACAATCCTCCGACTCTGATAGAAACACAATCCTCCGACTCTTAGTCACCAACAAATTAGGTCGTGTGTGATTCTACTCGAACTAGACCATCATTCAAAAACTTGCTTGCTGCTACTGAAGACTCGAATTAGGAATTTATTGATGCAGCTCAGTGGCTTTTTTGCCCTACTCGTGGGCACGTTTATCTTGAGCTCCAGTGGTCTGACCAGCGCAAAATCTAATGTTATGGACAAATATACCGATGAGAGCACTATAGTTCGGCGTCTACGTGGAGAAGACAGTGTCGAAGAGGAGAAAGGGTTTACTTCTATTTATGAAAGTGCTAAACGCTGGTTTACGAAGCCACTCGTAGAGGCGACTGTAAAAACGAACAAAGAAGGAAAAGAAGTTCTTGTTATTCCTCCAAAACAAGCCGCAATTCTGGCGAAGAACGGTATTGACTCGAAGGAGCTTGCAGCTAATCCCACTATGGAACACCTTGCATCGGTCTTGAATACGTATGTAAAGGGCAATAAAAAATCTCTGCCCGAAAATTACTTATGTGGTTGTTGGCCTTGGGTGGTGCTGGTGTCCGTCGGATACCTCATTCTCACCTATTTGCACAAACATAGAAAGCCCGTCTCGTCTGATGCACCCGTCGGCACGGCGTCTTAGGATTCTGAATCGAAGCTGTAAGGTGGTTTTCACTAATATTTCTGCCATAAGCTTCATTTTTGGCCTGGAAGGAAAGCTGGAAGCGCTGTTTGCTTGGCCTGTTTGGAGGTGTATTCGTGCTTGGGTCTTTTTGACAGTGTAGGATACTCGAGCTCCTCAACACTTTGGTCGTAGTGGTAGATATCGTATCCCTATAACTGTTGGCTTAAGTCATTTTGCTACTTGTTCAATACAATAATAATCAATATACAACTTCTTTGGTTTCATATTGCACTAGAATTGCGCTCACTTCTCTTCCGTGTGGTACTTACTACACTGCAATGGGAATCTGCACCGGGTGCAGTGTTTTTAATTCCATGGATGCCATACGTTTAGTTACTCGTACAACCGACTCAACGATTCAACTTAAAGTCGTCATTGCATAAAGGCGCTTTCAAACAACTGTACAAGTTTAAACTTACAAGAAAACACAAAAGCAAGATGACCAAGTGTCCGCGTTGGATAACAGCTTTGAATACACATGTAGACATTAAAAAACGCATGAACTGCAGCAGGCATAGGAGTTCGAGCCATTGAAGACACCAACTACTTCATTCATTCACTGACTACGTCTTAATAAATAGTTTTGCTACCGCAGCTGTAGATTACACGACAGCACTCCAACATTGATGTAGTGCTAATGCATAGTCATAGCATTACAACATAGTCGGATTGGTAATGAATGATATTATTGAATCATTTTCGATATCGAAAGACAAAATGCCTCGATATATACTATCTGCAATTACAAGTCGACTGGCCATCCAGAAGAGATGAATCTGAACTGCTGAAGCGACTTAAACCTTTCATGTGCTAAGAAATCGCTTGAGCATATAACAGACATAACTTGACAACTGCTAAGCTGAGATCGTAGTCGAAAATAAAATCGTTGCCGCCGATGTGAGCACCTAGGCGCCGTATGGTGTGAGCAACTGGTAAAGTGCGTACGTAGCAAAACCAACACCAGTACCGGTTAAGGATGCAATAAGCACTATCATGAACAAAGACCACTTTTTCACGTCACTTTTTTGCGCCCTGGACAACGCGACTGCTAGTCTTGCCAAATCTTCATTTTCGAGTTTCCATAATTCGTGTGTGTCGACAATCTTCTGCGCTAATTTCGCGATCTCTTCATCACTTTTTCTATATGTTTTCTCCGCAGCTTGAATAGCTGGTGTCGCTGCTTCAGCCATGGCAGCAGGTAACAAATGCTCGACGGCACCTTCAGCACCATGCGTGTCAATTCTCTCCTCTTCGACGTTGCTTTCTCCACGTAGGCGGCGGACATTGGTCCTGTCGTAGCTATAATTCTTTACAGCGTTGGTTTCCGCGCTGACGAAGGTGTCACTGCTCAAGACAAATGTGGTCAGGAGCAGGGAAAGGAAGAAGATGAAACGCATTGTTGAGCTCTTGACGGGTCTTGAGTAGTAAGTAAGTCCTTGAATCTGTCAGGACAAAGCAAACGATTAGTACCGATGTGCACCATGCTACACATTACTACATCAACTTGAGCCGAACGATATCTAATCTGATCAGATTTATTCAACACATCCCAATTGAAACTTCGTTAAGTCAATAGCGCTGCTAGTAGCAGTTGCACAAGTTAAATCACATGGCGTATGCAATCGTTACATGGATGTTATTCTTATCGTCACTATCAAGATCTGTGGACATTGGTTAGGCTGAAATGAATTTAACATGTACAGGTAGCACAGTAAGAGAAGGGTTGCTAGTCAAACTTGATGTGCTAGCATAAATTATTGATTGCTTGATTGAGTGGCCATTGGCAATGAGCGGCTGATGCTGATTCGACAAGACCCTGACTGATTTGCCGCAAGATCTGGTATCATTAGATGTTGCAGCTCGGTACCGCAGTATGTCTCTCGTCTATCACCACGATGGCCTGGCTACTGGCACTGGCCCTCGTGTCCATTTTAGTAGGCTGCCTCTGATACTCAACCATGAGCTGCAAATACTTTTATGGCCATGTGCACGACTTCAGAGCATGTTCCGATCAGGTTTTTCAATTTCATGTACAGCTTGTAAGTTTTCTGTAAGAGTGAATTTGGTTTCAGTCCTGGTCTCGAAATCAAATCAAATGGCCTCGTGTTGTCTATCTTACCACATCGCAAATCAAACATACGCCGTGATCTCCAGTCGTAACACTAACAATGCTTTGTCTCGTAACAAACCACACCAATCCCTCACCTCGATAAACTGTTCGAGCAGATCTCACTTCATTCCCGTCCCGTCGGATATCGTGTCATTGAAAACAGTCTATCGTAAGCTTTAGCACATAAGAAAACACGTCCGCTTGGAGTCCAATCGACTCGACTTACACCCGTGGTTGACCAGTGAAAGAACACCTCGGATGATTCGGACCATACCGGTCTCAACAAACTGCGAGATTTCCTGCGCTCGCCGTGTCATCCCGATTTGCTGGACCTCCCCATGTGGCTCAGTCTTCTCAGCGATGACATCCCAGCATAACTATCATCGCAAACTCTTTCATTGGCAATTCTTGAGAGCCTTGCCATCTTCAGCGTTAGATATCTGTTCGCGGCAAACGTCACGATTGACCGACAGAATTGGACAACATCTTGAACAACTCTAAAAGAGCAATCTGCATCAACGTCTCAAGGTCCTGCTGTTGCGTCCGTAGTACTAGCACTGCCTCGCTCTTCTTGCCTCGCCATGTGGTACCTGTTCCTAGCTAGCAACCGATAGTAACTGAGCCACGGAGCACCACGGCAAAAGGTCCTTATTTCATCAATACCAAATATAAGTAGCGCCTCGTTCCGCAAGCGTCACATAAGGCGAGGACATAAGTATTCTGACTGCATTGGGTTGTGCAAAGCTTCTTCTCGCACTGCTTGCACGTGTTTCAGTCATAAGGGGAATTTGCTGATCCCAGCAAGCCAAATCACTTTTTGTTTAGCTTTTTTGTCCTGAGCAGCAACCATCGGCTCATCATTGCTAAAAATGATCGCCGTTATCCATTTTCCAGAAATCAGTCACTAGACTCAGTTCTTCTTGGCCTTGGATCATTTGCGCAAATATACAGCATGTCTAATGTGCCCAAACTGTTTGCACCACTGTTTATCATGCTCACACTGTGAGGTGCATGACACACAATACATGATCTCATTATTGTGTGCCAAAGTGCAGATTTGCTGAAGCCGGGTGACATCGAATTTCATTTTCGGGCACATAATGGTCACTAACAAGCATTCAATATGTCAATCCAGGTCTTTTCATTCTCGAACACAGCGACTTTCACGCCTTTTCATCCCTCTTCTCTGACGTTTTCAACAGGGCAAAGTCTCAATGGTCTGCTTTACCTTCCGTTCATTTTCACAACCTGGAATTGTTGACGCCACCGCTTCAGTCGGCGTCTATTTGCTGTATTAAGTGCATTCGTAGCAGATTTGTTCATCTTTTGCGATAGTTTCCTACCAAATCAAGTCTTCGACAACGTGTGAGCCAGCACAACCTGACGAAGCTAAACGATAAAAACACCCGAGCACTGCGCAGAATGACCGGCCCCGCCTAGAGCATCGCAAATTAAGGTATTGCGCTCACAAAAATCTTAGATTTGAACGGCTTAGTGAGCTTATTGGTAATAAGATGGAATGAAATTGAGAGTCGCGACATGTAAAGCCAAAATTGTTTCATCGTCACATGCTATGGCCTTTCCAATCAAACACCATTGACTCATAGCCGACATAGTACGCCAAGTAATGAATTCCTTGACTTGTTGGTATTCGACAAGGGTGAGCCTCACGCCGCCACTAGAAAATGATCCCAGCAGCGTCGCAAACTTCTCTCTTCTAAAAAAGGAGGGTGACAAGCCGTTGCAGAAGAAGCAAAATGTAAACTTAACTCATGGCAGTGGGCAGCAAATCGACCGTGGTCGGAACAATATTTTCAAACTGTACCAGCTTCTCTTGATCTGACGCGTCAATAAACTTTTATCGCTTTCGTTGTCTACGTAAGTCACGACATCCCGATTCATTTTTTAAAGAGCTTCTTGTTTATAAAACGAAGACCAGAGCTGCTTGAGTACCGACAAAACTACTAGGCGTCATTGCATATCAAAAGTATGATGTCGCTATACATTTTAAGGGCCCGATAAAACTCATGCACATTCGGTCAAGCCTCGATGCAAGGATTGTGTAACGACACTGTGATGGGGTCGTCGTGTCCATGCTTGATGCTGCAACGTGGTCGGCCTGCCGGAGACACGTTTCCTGATACCGTGTGAGCTTTGTTAAGCTTTTTGCTCAAACGCACCTCTATTTAGCTTATATATATGATTCGCAGAGTAATAACAAATCTCACATTATATTGATGATACGTGACTGTCTACATCTCCTCATGGATAAAATCTACCATTCAACACAAAGTCAAGGACCATGAATATATATGGCAACAAACAAACAAAACTTACGCGTCATCGCTTTCTACAGATAGCATTTTACTTCTTCCCCTCCATATAAATAGACTGCACTACCATTTACTTATCCAACTAGCTCAATATGCAATATAATCGAACGATGATCCTAGTTTAGCGTTGCTACTATTTATTTGATGCCTGTTCAGCCTATTGATTGGCCAAATATATTCCCTTTAATTGGAATATCCCACACGCACCATTAAGCACGACCATCACTCCGAGTGCGCACTCAACGCGCGACCACCATAGCGATCGGCAACTGCGACGACGTGCCGGCTTGCAGAGGCCGCAAGCGTCCACGTGACGTTCTTTCGTATCTTCCAACGCGACGCAAGATTACGATGGGCCCTTCTAACGGTAAGGAGAACCAGGCGCCAAACGCTCCTGCCAGCCCCAAGTCGCTACTCGACTCATTTATGGAACAGTTGCCCATGCCAACGGTGCGTTATATGGACGCACAGGGACAATTTACGCAGATATTACACATTGGAGAGTCAGCACGATCGATTTTCTTGCTGGATAAGGCCTCTGAGCAGCGTCTTCGACTTGTAATTGCACTCAAAGAGGCTCCACGATCGGCAGCCACGTGGCTCGAGCTTTTACGCTGCCCATTGGGTGGAAATCCAGGATTATACAGTAAGTTACGACTATTGAAGCGTGCGCTAACGTGCATTGACGTGGAGATAGCACGAGATACGGCAGAGTACACGGAGATCTGTATTATGCTGGCCAAATTGAGCGAGTGAGTGATTCTTGAACGTTCGACGTGTTTTCGATCTCGAGTTCTTTGGAAAGTTTGACTTTTTGTGATATGTTTAGTAGTGAGAAAGGGGTGAGACAGAACTTTCAGGAGATGAAGAAACGACGAGTAGGTGAGAAGCAGCCGTTGCGGTATGAGGAAGAGGCTGCGTTTGAGTATGAAGCTGGTACGTGGTAGACAGAGTGAGAAGGGAGGGGGGGGATCTTTTTGAATATGATGCTCATGGTGTTTTTGTAGGAAATAAGGAAGTAGCCAAAGAGATTTTGGAGCTCGGAGTAGACAATAACGCTCTGACATCGATACAAAAGGAAAAGCTACTGAACCGGGTGATTGCCGGGAGAGCAGGTTGGGTTGCGGCTTTCTCGGGCTCGCCGCAAGAGCAAAAAGTGCTTGCGTTACAGACCAAGAGGCAGGCACTTAGGAAGATACAAGGCAACAGTATGACCAACAGCATGCAGAATAAGGAAGAACTAGTTGTTACTACTCCACGTGGTTGCGCAGCGACTTCACTTCAGCTTTTGACCATTCCAGCAGACATAACACCTATAAGCTATAGTAGAGAATGCGACGCTTCCACTTTGGGTTCGAACCACATGTTGATGACGCCGTCGAATGCAACACCAGTGTCCCATGGCCGGAACGGGGAAAGCTTCTCGACCGTGTCTAAAATACCACATCGCGGAAACAAATCACCGTTGCCCACGACACCGTTATTACCGACGCGGTCGAGTCTCAAGTCACAGTCTACATTGCGAAAGCCACCTGCGCGTTTTACGTTCGGTACGAGTAGTTGCTTGCTTGTTGACATACTACTGCCCTAACTATGCGTAAGTGCTTCTTTCATAGGAGGTCCACCACTTCGAGTGATTGCCACCAATCGCGAGGATGACGATGATAATGATGAGGATGATGACGACGCTATGATGGAGAGCCAAACAACTCCGACCAGGCCTGAAAAGTCAACAGCCACAATTGAGGTTTGCAGACAGTCTTTGTTTATGTAATGACTTTTGGGGGTGCAGCATGTTTGCTGACGCTGGTTTGACTACTTTGTAGGAGACTGAGAAGGCCATTAGTGCGTCACCTGCAATCAAGTGCGAAAGAATGCTGAAACCCAAAATTGATGTGGGAGATATTTCTCATATTTTGAAATGGAATCCAGACAAGGAGAAGGAGAGAAAAGGTACATGTACCGACCGCAAGGACACTAAAGTTTCGCTTGATATACCCGCAAAGCTCACTGGAGGAGGTGCACAACTTCAAGCTCTTATCGAAAAGAGACCACAAGAGAAATCAATTGAGACGCTAGCTGTGCCACCAGCAATAGTGCAGCGCCTACCTCAAAGCAGAGAAGTACAACCAGTTTTGATGGACGTATCAGTGCCCGACAGGAAGTCCTCTGTTGTTGAACATTATCTGTCACCTAGAATGAAAAGTTCATTGGACAGCAGAGCAGATACAGCGCTAAAAGCGCCTTTGCTGCTGGATAGGAGCACCATCACACGTACGAAGGATCATTATCGCTCCCCGAAGCGCCGACAACTTGACCCGAGTGTAGCGGTGAGGAAAAAGCAAGTTGACCTAAGCTCACCAAGCTCTATATCTTCTCCGTCGTCTCCATTGGTGGCGTCACTGAGCAGCAACTCGTCACGGGATGCACTAGAATCTCTAACGAGCAGAGTTGTGGTTTGTCCAGCTGGGTTTTGCATTTTTCTGTCAGGTGCGCAAAAGTCACCCTATCTTCTTTTGTCCAAATTTGTAGGTGAACGGTCTGAAGTATATAAAATTGGAGCAGATTGGAAGTGGTGGTAGCAGTAAAGTTTATCGAATGCTTGGACCCGATCTCAAGATCTACGCGCTGAAAAAAATTAAGTTGAAGAAACTGGATGCAAAAAGTATTGCCCAGTACACAAATGAGATAAAGCTGTTGAAACGCTTACAAGGCAATCCGCACATTATCAAGCTTATTGCTGCCGAGCAAGATCTTCAACAGCGGCAGATCAACGTGGTATGATACCAAAAGCATCTTACGAAGCATTCATGTGTATAAATGGCGTGCGTTTTTATTGTAACAGATAATGGAGCATGGTGAGATCGATCTAAGCGCGCGACTTCGCGACTTGAACGGTGGTATGGATGAAAATTTGCTACGAGTCATTTGGACTCAGATGCTTCAAGCTGTTGATGCCATTCACAGAACGCGAATTATTCACGGTTGGTCTTGGTGGTATGTATTATGAGCGACGTCTTTTGTACTAATATGGAGGTTTATAACCCAGGCGATTTAAAACCGGCGAACTTCTTGTTTGTAAATGGTGCGCTTAAGCTTATCGACTTTGGCATTGCAAAGGCAATTCCTTCAAACGACACGACAAATATCGAACGCGACAGTCAGATCGGTACGGTCAATTATATGTCTCCTGAGGCTATTCAAGGCAACACCTTGCCCAACGGCGAGCGTGATCCTGAGGGAAAGATGAAGGTAATGTTTGTGATGTGAACGAGGTTGACGTTGCCTGACCCTTTTATGCTCTGTTGCTTACTTTCTAGGTTGGACGCGCAAGTGACATTTGGTCGTTAGGGTGCATTCTCTACCAGATCGTGTACTCGAAGCCCCCATTCGCGGATGTTCGCAGCATCATTGATAAATTTCGCTGTATCATCGATCCGGCAGTACCAATTCCGTTTTCCCCGCTGCAGAACCAAGACCTGGAAAATGTGATTCGCTCTTGCTTGCAGCGAGACCATCGTCGTCGACCTCCAATCACTGGAGAAAGAGGTTTGTTGAGCCATCCATTTTTGCGGAGCGGAGGCTCGAGTGCGTGCGAGCCGTCAGTTACCATGGTGAACATGTCCAATGCGTCACAAATCCTCTCGCAGCTTGGTAATCTATTGCGCTCTCAGGGATTGCCTAGTGGTCGCGTGAACATGTTCATGTCCATCGGTCAGGAAGGCCTGCGGAATGAAAGTAACGACGTCTTTGGAACACATCATGTCTACGATACCCAAGAGCGACGAACGGATATCTGATTATCGTGATTATGCCATCTAGTTTTCAAAAGCAATGGCACGTTGTTGTGGGTGCATGTTCGTGAGTGACTAGATTGCCGTGGTGTAGTGTACATGCAGCTGAATTCGCAAGAAATTGTGTCGTTCTTCTTCATGTTAGTACAATAGAGAACTTTGATCGGGAATAAATTTGAACAGTCACTATTGGCGCTTACAGCCTCGGTTCCAGCTTTAACTGTGCTCACGCTTCAAATGTCACCTATACTGTTAGCTTAATACAAATAAAGCTTGTCCATCCATAGCCACTATGCGCTTGTTACTCTCATGAAGTGGTATATGCATATACCTTATCAAGGAACGTTACTCTCGGCTCATACCTTTTAGGCAAAATACTTTAGTGAGAGAAGGCAAGTAGAAGCGTAACACCCGTTGCTTTTGCACGACCATGAGACTGGAGTTCGTGTACTCTTCAATCACGTTTTGGATAGTAATTTGGATCACATTTTATCCGCGTTGAAATATCTGTGTCATTTCAACTCTCGATCTTGAAAGGGTCCGTTGACTGACTTGCTCCATTGATCTGCGACTCAACGCCTTGGTAACCCTCCAAATACATCGCCACTCGCTTTGCCATATTCCAATTCTTCGTCACCGGCTGGTGCGTCTATCTGGGACACGATGTACCGCCAAACATTTATCTGGTCGGGCACATTGCGCAACCTAGAGTGAACTTCCAACAGAAGAGACTGCAATGCTTCTCTTGAGGCCTGCACGACATCAATGTATTGTGACCGTGACCACTCGATCGTCGCCGATAACAGTAACTTCATCCTGGATTCCTTGTAGTACAAGCAAATATCCGTGGTGCACTAGTTACAATTCGCTGTGACAAACTTGAATGTAACAACTTGATCCACATCTTCCAGCTCGTTCAATTCGTAATTCGAGATTTTAATAGTAGTGTCAACATACTTGTGTCGGTGACTCCGGATTTCTCACAAACGTCTTGATTTGGCTGCATTCCATTTCACACCCTCATCCTGTAATTGTCCTTTTCCGCCTTTACGTACGCGTTTCACTCGTCATCATGGCATGCCGGCACACCCGTCATCGTGAAAACACCAGGGTGAGAGATGTGGTTTTTACAGCATATATACTCGATGTCATTTCATGTCGTCTCTCTTGCCAATATAGCTACTGCAGCTTTACTATACTCGCGAGGGACTTATTTTGTTGTCCCGGTGCACCGTGCACGGCGACCCAAAACCCATGATGTCACTTAAGCGTGGCGTCCTTTGGTCAGAATTTCAATTGGTGAAATGCCGCCGTGTTGCCTTACTAAAACTTTGGTTTCGTGTGTACACTGCATACTTTCCAGCACGCCTCAAAAAGATATGCTAAATGTTGCAAGGCGCTTGTTGCACAGTAGGTAGAATTATATGTTCCATTATCACTCACTACGCTTAGTGCTAACGACATGCAATCACATATGCGACGGGTATGCGATAGCACTGCAACTTGACCGTCTGTCTTGCTGCCTCACATCTTATGTGTGATTGGTCCCCTGGCGAGTAGTAACGGTCCTTGTCAGTCATTCAGGTGTGAGCGCCTCTTACCAATAACAGGTCTTATCGTTGAACTTGCACTTGACTGACCTGTTGAAACCAATAGTTTCAAACAATCTAGACGTACTCGCTTGCATAATCTTTGCGCCGCATCATATTTATAATGGTGCATCCGTTCAGCTTTGCGTTGCTTGCCTGTTTTTTCTCACGCACTTGTCGAGTCTCACCAGTTACCAACGGCTTGTATCCGCCACCACAATTTATACGAATCACGTGCCTATGGTAACTGAATGAACGGTCGAAAGTTACAAAAAGTTATGGATCATCGCGTCAATGCCTTTCGACTTTGCAAGAAACACCGGCGATAATTTGATCGGTGGTCGATAAAATCGAGCAAGTATCGCTTGCCGAGACGGTCACGTGGTATCATCGGACCTGTCAGATCGAGTTATATGACCCCACCCGATGATCGAATTCCTTCCTGTATCCTTTCGTAACCGCACGTTTTTCGTTTGTCTGCCTTGTGCACCGGTCAAACAATTGGTACGCTTGGTGTAAGCTAAGTTGATACCATAGGCAGAGTTGCGGGCCAATGGATCACCGTGTGTAGCGCATGTGATCAAGACGGCGGTGAAAATCCATCAGCATATCCGACCCTGCCATGATTGAGATATGTTATATTCATGTTAATATTAAAAGAGGTTTCATATACACCGCCATGATTGCCACCTTTGGCATTCAAAATCCATGATTATCATTAGATTCTTTAAAATTACTAGAACATTGTTTACATACGACCATCCATGATCGGAACGCCGCCGCTGTGACTGTTCACGACATTCAGACCACATCCATTTTTTCAATTGTCCCATAGGAGGTATGTTGCGCTTTCAGATTGACAGTATTTTAACCATCAAGAAGCGGACGGTCTTATTGAGACCTAGTGCCGTAACTTGGATCACGGCACTGCCTTGCTTGGTAATCCTTTATGGACAAAAAATAATGTCGGAAGCAGCAGTGTGACATTTGCTCTCGAGTAATCTACTGGGTCTTTAAGCAAGCGGTAGTCAATTACCAAATGACGGCGCAAACCGCTGCCGAGGACCCACTTGTAACTCATACTTTGAAAGCCATCGTTGACCGTTAAGAGAAGCAATCTCTTTGGTCCATTTTTGAATCGAGGAAACGCTACCTTGATGTGTCGGGTTGAACCCATATCAATAACACCTCTTCGAAAATTGGTCGTCGAGGTGCTTCACGTTATCAATCCGCTTGACCTCTTTCTTCAAGTTGACAACATTGGCAACGTCGCAAATTTGAGTCAAGCATAAGTCTCCGTCGAATAGGCAACTATGCCAGCTTTTCGCTTGACGGTCCTTAACCGGGTGTATATCTATTGGAGGCAACATCGTCAAGCGCATGCACGGGTCCCCGTAGTGGACGATGTTATCAGAATAAGATCGTCCGCACCACCGCACAACTTCTGACGGCCGTCAAATAAACGAAGTGGTCCGTCCAGCTTTGCAGGGACTTGACCGTCGATAAGTGCTTCATGCTTTGGACCGGTGTGATCTTGGCGGAGATTGTTTGGAACAGCCGTCGCATGATTGCTTCAGCGTCTGACTTTCGAATATCAACGTCTTAACCTGTGGACGATAGATCTTTGAGCGTGCGGCAAGGTGCTGAACGAGGACGTCAACCGTGACACTGCGGCGGCCTATCCGACATGATATAACGGAGTCCCTAGTCCTCCTATCAGTAACGGTCTGTGGTCGGCCGATCAAATGTGGGCACACCTCACCTGTAACAGGTCTTGCTGCCAACCTTGCACCGAGTGTGACCTACCAAATCGAATGGTTTTAACAATGACCCGGCGGTAGCGACGTAAAGAAAGCTTTACTTTGCTCTTTGTTCAATTCCGTGCAGGACTGCGAGAAAAAGCTTTGCGCGATTCCGACCTCTTGCCTCCTCGCGTTGTTTGACGCTATTTGATCCCTAACGCTCGAGTATGGTGCGTTTCAAAAACCAACGCAAGAAGTTGCATAGAAAGTAGTAAAACATGAAGTCCCCACCCCACATTAAGTACTTGTACAGCTGCGCAATGAACCGCTCAACTGCATTAAGAAGAGGTACAGAATAACACACCCATACGACGCATATCAAGGTGCACCTTGTGTGTCATACTTGATATCCATCGCAACTGCCGATAAATGCACGCTTGTTGTTTACTAGCAGGCACGTGATGCCAGCACAGTCATACACAACGACAACGTTTTTCTAATATGCAGCTCAGTAGTGATTGATGTCAAGTTTATGCTGGGAGTATTATGAGTTAAAGGTTGATTTGCATAGTGGCTAGGAGTACTGTCACAAAACAACCACCTTCTGGTAAGCGGCACACAAAGGATGTGAAAGCAACTGACACAAGAACACGCAGAGCCCGGAATGAGCTGCGAGATCAAAACATAATGTATAAAAACACGCGCACTGGTCTCGAGAGAGATGAGCAACGTATTTGACCAGCGCATGGTCATAACTGTCGTATGAAATGCGGTGGAGTCTCCCGTGCATTTTAGCTAATGCTCATCCGAGCACGTCAATTAGGCTGCTTCGGAATGATCGTTAAAAGCAATAACGTTTGGGGTTTATACAATCATGTATCGAAAGCACATCGAGGTCATAACCATAAAATGGAAAGAAAGCAGCAGGGGGGTAGAGGCTTTCAAAATTAATGGTTCCCACGAGCAAATATCAGTGGATTGATCCCGTGTCGCTTCGAAGCAGACTCGACTCGCCTCGACCGGTGTCGACTTACGATCGTATATCTGCTAAATATATGGGCCAGCGCATCCAGGGGGTTAGAATTGACGGAGCAGTTTCAAGCCGCAATCAATAGATTTCGTGCTCAATGGCGTGTGTAGTAGACAGCATTCAGATGGGACGTGCTTTGTTGCTTTTTTTTTATTATTCGCACCACAAAGTAAAGCACGTCGGCTACGTCAGCGTGTTTCCGCTCTTACTGAAGTCATCGCTTGAAGCTACTTGCACTTTTCAAAGCTAGTCAGAGACCCTGCCCACCTGTGGTCTCCTTTTGGACTTCGTTCTTTCTCTACGTTTGATCAACTCTTTGAGCAGGAAAGTGCGCCTGGAGATAACCCGTACTGGTGTGGAGCTATATGAATGAACGCCAACTATCTGGCTTTGGATGCGCTACACCACTACGCGCGGCCGAGCACGGTCACGGTAGTGATGACCTCAGCTGACGACGGCGCTTTTGTCGGCTAGGGCTCGCACCTCTCGGTAAAATCGACGCTAAGTGTCTTGCGTGGAGAGCGATAAGTTCTGAGCTGGAAAAGAACCAAAGCGTTGTCCCCGATTACATGCAGTGGTTAGTACACGCTTGCTTTTGCCTGGCGGAGGCCGTGAACCAGACCTCGATATTCAGCGATGTTGTCGGTAGTAGATGCATGATCGTAGGCCATGCTCGCCACTCACATGACGCAAGCTGTGTGCGTCGGGAAGTGATCGTTGGCAATGACAGATCCAGAACCTTCCTGTCAGGATTACCCCGAGCTCCATTGTCGAAGAAAAATAGGTATAACGTTAGCGCGTTCGTCCCGCCGCAGTGGGTGCAGTTAATTAGGTGCCTCAGAAAGGATTAGTGTCGGCAAGAGCTGACCGCACATGTGCCAGGTTTCGTCCCTGGGCTGGTATGTTGAGCTGCGGAAGAGTGTTAGCGCACGTCGAAGATGAGAGCTTGCCCGACGAGTGTGCGCTTCGTTCGAAAAAGTTGAGTCCGTCATGCGACGGAGCCGCTCGATCCAAATGGCATGAAGCGTCGATGCAACTACGAAACGCCACAGCTTGCGCGCAGCCGGAAACACTGCGAAACGAGATCTTGCCGGATCTCCGTGCGGCCCAAAAACGTCAAACGTCCTTAATCGCGTCCCAAGCAGCGCTTGGATAGCCCGGAATCTCCATGCCAAAGACCCATTCGTGCTTGTCTGTCTCCTCGAACGTGCCAAGACACCGCCACAGAGGTTCTAACTTTTTACAATGCCGTTGCGATCCAGGGCGGGTCAGCAGAAAGTAAGATGACGGACTCCGTCAATTCCTGTGCTTACACTGTACAAAAAGCAAAGGATGTTCAGGAGAGAGAAGCAGTTGTTTTTGATGGACGTAGTTAAGCTTTGCAAAATGTGTGGTAGATCCTAAACCTGATTAGCAACGCCGGTTCCTCGGTTGAGCCCGGTGGTTGTACGGGGCTAGTCACCTGACAACTCTCAGAGTTGACGTGCTATGATGCGCTGGCATAGTAGTAGGCGTGTACCGTTGATCGTCGTTTCTGCGCGCCGGCTCTCGCGCTTACCTATCCACGAAGTTGCCGTTTTCCCAAAACTCTTGATCGCTATCTCCGATGGTCAGGTTCGCCTGCTGAAGCGTTGCCCGGTTTTTTTTGTTTCCATAAGAGAGCAATGCATATGCTGCTCAGGATCATCCATAGGCGCCGACACACGTCGACGAATGCGCCCGCCTCGTCGGGATAAGCGCGGTTGAGCTATTTATGGGCCACCGTGGATAGCCCTGGAGCTCGTCAGGTTGTTCTGTTGGCTAGGAAGCCCTCAAGACGTCAAGCTTCCATCGTTCTCTAGTCAAGAGGCAACTGAGCTTTTGCCAGCATGCTTGCGCGCTTGGACATATCCAAAAACATGATCCAACGTCTCTTTCATTCCACAGCAGCATTGTAGCTTACGACAACTGTTGTCGCTTGCCCGTTCCGCACGGTAGTGATCTAATCGCCGTACGGCCGCTCGATATACGCCTAAGACTCGGTAGTCCTGAGCAGGCGACCATGGTTCCACACTGCTAGTGGTGGCTGCCGTAAAACTGACCGGTATGAACCATCTTATCGAACTCATCCGACATTTGCGCCGTGTGAGTGAAGTGATGCTGCTGCACTCAAAAATTTGGTGTCCATTCTAAAGCGAATCTGTCTGTCAGTGACATCTCCCGCTTCAACTCGGCACCGCTGATATGACGGATCGCTGTAATAGACCAATCTATCTCCCAATTACTTGATCGCCACAACTTCCACCTAGTTTGCTCCATTGTCCATTTGAGCCGTTGCTCCAGCCGAACGAGGTGCTCTCGCAATCCTCTTCCACCTTAACTGCTCACACCTCCTTTCTCGTCACAAGTCTAGGCGCGCGGATCCATTCCGTGGTGCTACTACGCTCAAGCGGAAGAATGAACTGATGCCATTGTGTCCCGGATGCCGCGTGCTGCTGCCAGAGGGCAGTGTTGACGTATAACCGAAGAAGAAGCAGCCGTTGCTTATCCTTCGTCTTCACCTGGTTTACCGCCGCAACGCACTCATCGAGTTGTGGTATCACGTGCTATCCGATCTCCATTACTTTCACACATTACAAATAGTGTTTGATCGATACATGGAGTAGTTTCATCGCTTCCTTCCGGCCGTATTGTATGTAAAGGTCAATACATTTTCGTCAAAGGAAATTGGCTCCCATCACCATCAGCTTGCTGGAGCTTCAATTATACTGCGGAACGACATGGATAGTGCAGCGGGATATTCATCCCCGTACATTCATTGTAGATGGATTTCCTGCCTTTCCACGTCATGGCATCGTAATTACCGTTACTGTCTGTCCAAAGGTGATGATGGGCAATTGTTTTCAAAGCGGTCAAGCTGTTGTTGACACGAATTTCTCGTTTTTTCATGTCATTCGTTTTGTCACACGTTTTGTCAAAACCTTGGAACTTGCATGATGGTTTTGTTTTGTCAACCACGTCTTTTTCTTTTGTCTCAGCTCCTTGGTTAGGGGTACCAAGTTCGACAAATACATAAGGAAACCAGATCGTCATTTGAAAACTGTCTCAAAGTAGGAGTTGTAAACCTACGAATCATTTGATGTTTCTATCCAACAACAAGAACAAGAACAACAGACTGTCTACTCGAATCTGTAGAAGAGATGAACGACAACAGTTCGACACACACACAATTAACGAGTTCATTAGTAATTTGTATTTTCATCTTCGGATCGGTCCTCTTTTGAAATCACTAGATTAGAAATCCTAGGGCTAGTAAATAATGAACGCGTTAGATTGCAGCTCAGTACAAAGTAGTTTACTTGTCGTGAAGAATGTGGCATTCAACAATTCACTTGGTAGGACTTAGAACTCTTCAAGAATAAATATCAATACCTATGCGCTTCGGCGTCTTCTTTCCCTTCCTACTTGTGGCCATGTTTATCATGAGCTGTAGTAGCTTCATCGCCGCCAATTCTTACAGCTTTGACAGCACACACACGAATAGCGGCAAAATCAGTTTTGCTACAACAGAAGGCGACGAGGAGAGAGATGCTAAGACCGAAGGTGGTAAGCGCGTCGCAGCGTTGGGCAAAAGCTTTTTGGCGAGCGATGAAAAACTTTCACAAGCGATCACAAAAATTGCTGAAGCATCTAAAAAGAATGAGGCCATGTCAGTTGAAAAGATTTTGGAGGTGGGTGGACTTAAAGACCCGAAGAAGGTAATAAAACTCTTGAAAAAAAACAACGTGAACATTGAAAAGGCACTTCATGACCGCGACTTGGGCGAGATTTTTAAACTGGTGCAAGTCATATCAGTAGGCAAAAAGAAGTCGCTCACCAAGAAAATGTTTATTGTACTGGCCAGTCTCTTTGGTGCTGGTGGCGTCCTATACTGCTTGTATATTCTGTACAATCGCAATCAAGCGCCGCCGGGCCAATCTACCGCTACGGTTGGAAATACGGCCTCGTCGGAAGACTCGAAGGGGTCGGATGCAGCGGAGTTCGAGAAGTATTTGGATCTTGAGGGGTCCGGGGATTCAACGGACTTTGTAACATTGGCTAGAGGAATAGATTCTTCAATGGAGTCTCCAGAACCGGTGGATACAGTGGACTCTGCAGTGTATGAGTCCTCGGACTCTTCTTTAGCAACGGAGGGTGCAGTGGGCTCTTCAGCATTGTTGAGGCTTCAGGATTCTGCAACGTCGTCGGGGTCATCGGATTTTTCAGCGGTATTGGGAGGGCAGAATATGCTCAACCCGAAGTATATGAAGGCAACGGGTCTTACGAAGCTTTCCTCAATGGTGGAAACGGATTCTTCAACGTTTTCGGAACCATTGGAGTCTTCAACGTTGCGAACGTCATTGTAGATGTTAAGCGAATGAGTCGAAACGATTTGATGCCTCCTTGAATTCTGAGTGAGAACTGTCAAGTTTTCATTGATGGTACCTCTGGCGTAATTTCTCCTGAGGTATAATCGTCTTCGAAGTGCTGGACACATGATCTATGCTAAGTAGGATGGTGTATCTTTAGCCTGCTGGCTTACATATTGGACAACTTGTCCACTGCATTCATTAATACTTTGAATACATGAGTATCTTGATACTCTGAAAATTGGCTCGACTTCAATGCTGTCAGACCAGTACTGCTGTTGTTGAGTTTGCATCTTTTGCGACAGTAGGAAAACGTCAAGTCATGAAAAACTGTTGCTGTAATGCAGAGTCCTTTCATTAATGTCGGAAAAGTGAGCAGCCAACCGATTCCCCAACGTATCGAAAAGCTCTTGCTACTACTAAGCTAATTTTTCATCTCAGCAACAGTTGTGAATACTCAAAAAACTCAGCTCAAGATCCATTTCAGTCAAATAAACCTGCAACTCTTCGGAAGAAATCAGACACATTGCTGACTTGGACAACAGCACTTGAAGGCACATATCGACGCGTGCATAATGCTACGCCGCGGCGCATTGTCTGCTCCGTATCGTCTCGCAATAAAGTGTAATACTAACTTGTGCTCTAGTATTTTCTCCAACTTCTTGCTCTCAGCAGTCTGGTGTGTCTATCTTTCGAACGCTGTTTGCATCTACGCCCATCGTCGTTGTCAACCATTTGATTGTTCGCGTCATTTTGCAGCTCACCACGTAAATGCAAAAAGAAGCTTAACACTTGCTGAGAAAGATCTACATTCTGTCAAAGCGTTGCTGTAGCTGTGCGACCGAGAGTAGGAATGCCTGCAGCGCATTCTTGACGATAGTAAATTGAAGAGTAGCAACGCGGTCAATACCTGTTACAATGTCACAAAGAAATTAGGTAACTAAAAGTCATTTCACAATGTGAGCCTTGCTCACGAAGCACACTGTATGCAAGGTTGTTGAGCACCCGACGAAGGGTAGATACTGACACTGGTGGATATCCTACTTACACATTAGTACATCAACACTTAGGCAAGTAACTATTTGTACCGAACGTGACCCCGATGGCCTTCAAAATGTAAACTGCGACCGCCAACCTGCTCTCCCTGTAATCACCCGGTTCAGTAGCTTTTCCTTTTGTATCGGTGTTAGAGCGGTATTGTCTACTCCGAGCTCCAAAATCTCTTTGGCTACTTCCTTATTTCCTACAAAAACACCATGAGCATCATATTCAAAAAGACCCCCCCCCCTCCCTTCTCACAATGACCAGCTTCATACTCAAACGCAGCCTCTTCCTCATACCGCAACGGCTGCTTCTCACCTACTCGTCGTTTCTTCATCTCCTGAAAGTTCTGTCTCACCCCTTTCTCACTACTAAACATATCACAAAAGGTCAAACTTTCCAAAGAACTCGAGATCAAAAACACGTCGCACGTTCAAGAATCACTCACTCGCTCAATTTGGTCAGCATAATACAGATCTCCGTGTACTCTGCCGCATCTCGTGCTATCTCCACGTCAATGCACGTTAGCGCACGTTTCAATAGTCGTAACTTACTGTATATTCCTGGATTTCCACCCAATGGGCAGCGTAAAAGCTCGAGCCACGTGGCTGCCGATCGTGGAGCCTCTTTGAGTGCAATTACAAGTCGAAGACGCTGCTCAGAGGCCTTATCCAGCAAGAAAATCGATCGTGCTGACTCTCCAATGTGTAATATCTGCGTAAATTGTCCTTGTGCGTCCATATAACGCACCGTTGGCATGGGCAACTGATCCATAAATGAGTCGAGTAGCGACTTGGGGCTGGCAGGAGCGTTTGGCGTCTGTTTCTCCTTACCATTAGAGGTACAAACGAGGTCTTACGTCGCGTTGACAGGTTCGGGAGTGCATACGGACGCTTGTCTCCCGTAATGAACTGACGTGTTATTGCTGTACAGTAATCGAATGGGATTCTTGAAAAAACTGCAAGCGTCAAACTTTTGATGAATCGGTTTGTAATATGATAGTTGGATTTAACTACATAGAAAGATATATACGAGGAAGCTGGAAGTTGAGATGACATTATCAATCATGGAAGAAGTGAAGCGATCAAGTACTTTTTGGTCATTCAGTTTTAAGTCATTCCAATCAAATCGAGCTTTTTCTACCTCTGTGCAGATTGCACAAGGTAGGATAGAGGAATGGTGTTTCGAATCAAACCAAAGACGTACGAAACGTTGTGACTTTTACAACATCTCTTGGGTCATATATACGTAGTAGACAATAAGTACTGATCTGACCATGAGATACTTTTTTTGCATGTATTTGGAAGCAGCAAACTGTCTTTTGTATATTGCGGTAGTAATTCAAGCGCACGGTCAAAGCATGCAGTGGAATAGCAAGAAGAAAACAAACAGAAAGATCAAAGATTAACAACAAACAAACGTTGATCGAAGCTTTCATTAAGACTAAGCTATTCTGTTTGCATGGTCAGTTAGTGAGCCGTCAACGTTGCAGTTACTTTTATCATAGCAGCACGAAGTCGAACAACATCATGCACCTTTAGTGGTCTTCACGTAGATATATATTTGGTTTCTTTGTTCTTACTAACGACGTAAACAGATACACTTGACGATAGTCGACGATTATAAATTGAGTAAAGCAAGTTGCCCTAGGCTATGCTGGCAGCAAAACATTGGCTCAAGGGTCAACGGAATTGTAGTTGAGGCTTTTCACCTTGATATCTACGAGAAATGACAGCTGCACAGCTGTTTTTGATTTCGACCGTTCATACTTTGTGACGGCACGACTTTCATGATCGGGGCAGTAACAGGGTCTTGTTACAATCGTCCGATCTCAAGATCGAGCTGCCACAACCAAATGCCCATCTTTAGTGCACGTTGAATGCTAAAACACAGTTTTGCTATGTAAGATAACCATCAACAACAGACAGTTGCTAGGTCGTCTATTTGTGTGATGAATGGTTCTTCCTCACGAACAAGTAAACTGACTCTTTAGTTGCGCATCGGAGACAAAGTGAGACCCTCCATCACAACGCCATCCAGTACTGCTCTTGTACCATTCATTTACAGCCGGCAGGGCATGGACAAATCTGACGGATCTTTTCCTCAATAGCTTTCGCATAGCATTGCTCTTCCTCCAATTTTGCGTCATCACGAGCTTGACGTAAGGCATTTAAGTGAGCAATGTAATCCTTCTTAGCATGTTGTAACTCTTCCCAATCTTTGTTTGAGACGCCAACATCCCGCTCTTTATTAGTCGTGGCCTTGTCTTCATCAACTTCCGCTGTCATAAGAACCCTTTCATTACTACTCTCTTCGACATTCACCTTCTTCTCACTTAAAGCCTTGGCACCTTCCTGCTACTCAGTCTGATCGAAATGTGACTACAGTGTTTCCAAATGTTGCTCTTGTGTTTTAGAAAACGAATTGTCCCCTGTCATAGACGAGTGTAAAAGCACTGCCTATCTCGTGGACGCCGGGCTGCATGAAGACTATCTCCTGCTATTTCTGCATCTTTGCTGTTATTGTGCGAGCTTCTTCCGGATAATGGAACACTCTTTGTGCACGGTACTGCAATAGTTCCTCCCACACTCGAACAGCATCACGGCCGTTACCAAAGCCGTCTAATGTTTTCAGCTCTAGGAAAAATTTTCGCAGCACATATTCGGCGGCGTTGTCCAACGTGATCTCTTCCTTGTCAGCCTTTGCTTTTAGAAATGTAACTCCGTCATCCGCTTCCCAATCCGGAAAGTCAATGAACCGTTTGAATTGGCTTTTGAGACCAGCGTTCCGATTTAGCATGATGTCCATGTCCTTCGGGTAACCTGCAATCACGATAACCATACCAGTGTATAATGGATCTGTCATCGCAGCCACCAATGTTGTTATAGCCTCTTCTCCATATTTTCCTTTACCCAGCTCATACATATGCTTCATCGATAAACAGCAATCCATCCTTAGTTAGCCTCAACAAGTTTCTCCGTCACTTTGATCTTAGTTTGACTAAACCTTAGTTTGACTAATATACTCCCCAATCTCTTACTGGGGAGTATATTAGTCAAACTAAGATTGAGTCTGTTCATATGAAGTGATTGCTGGTCAAACTAGATTCAACCGCCAGGTCTTCACAAGCTTCGTGCTACTCAATGCACCCATAGTATGCAATATTTGCCCCATCACACGCGCTACAGTCGTCTTCCCAGTACCCGGAGAGCCTCGGAAATAAAGTGGCCGATTTCAGGACGCGCCGAGTTTTCACGATCAGCAACTGCCATTTCCGTTTGCAAACGTAAAAGCTGATCACGAATCTTTTCCATGCGGTACAGACCGTCTAGCAACACCATCGAATTTCTGTCGGCTGGACCGTCCTTGCCGGGTACGCTACACCCACAACGAGCAGCTAGAATGGCGTTGCCGGCATTTTCAGCGTCACTTTCTGCAATACTGCGCTCTTCTTCAAAGTCCATCACCACCCTTTGTGCGCGAAATAGCAGTAGGTCCTTCCACACACGCATTGCATCTCAGCCATTGCCAAAGTTGCTCAGCTTTTTAAGTTCCAAAAACGTTTTATGCAGCGACACCACGGCTTCTTCCTTCCATAAAGCTTCTCCGAAAGTATGCACTTTATACGAAAAAAGTAGCATATTACCTTCAAAGCTGTACAACCTTTAATTTGGCGCTTTTCAACGGACTTCGTCATGAATACGGTCTTCAAAGTCTGTGGTGCATCAGGACAAGATATTTTACCAGATATAGTGACGAACTTTGAGATGAGACTGGGTGTAAATTGCGACGGCATTGTGTGCTATTTGTCGATCTCACAGCTTCGCGTAATAACTTTACCATAGATCCTCAAAACAGGCTCATTCAGGGCATTGCTTCGATGTTGTCTATAGTTTTGATTGCTGCAGTCGTTTTTGATGGAAAATCCATCCAAATTGCTATTGTGTGACAGCCACGATTGTTACCGTCAATAAAGCAGTTGGACAACGTTGACTGTGCTGAGATGACTCCAAGGTTGATCGATGCTCATGAGTCGAAAAAGACCGTGTTATGGTCCGCCTGAGCGATGTTTCGTGCAACTGATCGTCGTAACGTAGTCAAAATTACACGCAGATTATGGACCTTTGTAGTCCTTTCGCCAGAATACGATGTTGTATCGACAAACAATTCTATGGGTTCTCTTACCCACAAGGTACTCGTAATGATGAAGAATTCGTAACGGGGGTTCAGCACCGACCTGTTTGTGACAAGAAGGACGTGCACAGTCGTGTCCAAATCTTTGCCACCCGTTTTGAAAAAAGGAGACGTGTGAGAACGTGATACTTTATCATGTGGATGTATACGTCTGTTCAAATTTGTAAACATACAAGTCGACGATCACTTCATGGCCAGCTATTCCTTGGGTTGATCATTGATCGTAAACAAGTCTTTTCCACATTTATCCAGACACGTACGCGTCATGTGGGCAACGTATCCAATCGTTATTTCAAGATATTTGTATGACTTCTTGCACAAGTGTCAGCTAACTCCATGAGATTTTGCTGTATGGAAGCGACGAAGAAGCTACAGAATGGACAGACCTGGGTGGCATATTGAATGTTCGGCAATGACGCATCATGTGCTCGGAGATAAACTGGATGTGCACACGGGTGGAGTGGACCTGCGTTTTCCTCATCACAACAATGAGATTGCACTGTGTGAAGCGCATAACTATGGACCTCAGTGTGAGCATGATAAAGAGTGGTGCAAACACTTTGTGCACTTTGGACACTTGTATATTCGCGGAAGGAAAATGTCCAAGTCGCTGAAGAACTTCATTTCAGTGAAGGATTTTTTGAATGATGGACACACGGCGGATCATTTCCGCCTAATTTGCCTGCAGTTTAAGTACCGCTCAAATTTAATCTACTCGGAGGATCGAGTACGTGATGCAGAAGTAGTAATCACTCGTTTGAGATGCTTTTTTCGAAATGTTATGGCATATGGCAGTAATCGTGATATTTGTAGCAGCGATACTAAAATTAAAGGAATCAAGTCAAAACGCTGTGAGAAACAAGACCTGGAAGTGTTAGACGCACTGTTCACGACCCAAGCACAGGTGGACGAAGGTTTATTGGATGATTTAGACACGCCACGCGCCCTATCACTTGTATTGAACCTGATATCGCGTGGAAACACGTACTTGCTGGCACACCGAGGCGATGATCAGGCTCCTGAGGAGGTGCTAATTGCATTGACTAGTTACGTGCTTGAGGTGCTTGACCTTTTCGGACTGGAGGGACTTCATGCCGAGTTTTCTGCCATGATGCGCCGTCGATTCACTGTTTCAGTCAAAAAGCAGCAGCTGAATGAAAGGGACGAATTGGTTAGCAGGGACGAACAGGAGGCTCTACTTTACTCTTTGATCAAATTTCGTGCTGCTGTGCGAGAAGAAGCTTTGCGTGACCTTAATCAGTCAGGCAACATGCGCATTCTTGCGTTATGTGACACATTGCGCAACGAGGAGCTACCTCAGTTAGGTATTCAAGTCGAGGATCTTGCGCCAGGATCCTCCGTGTTTAAGCTGCTCTCGCTTGAAGAACGAGAAGCAGTTCGAAGAGTAGAATCAGATGAACAGGAAATAAAAACTGATGGCGAGGCAGCGCTAGAACTGCGGAACAAACAGCAGGAGCTTGAGATGCTGATGCAGATTGCTCCCTCAGATTTGTTCAGGAAATCGCCGGAGTTTGCCGACCGATTCAACATGTTTGACACGAATGGATTCCCAACGCTCGAGAATGGCGAGCCTATTAAGAAAAGCCAACGTAAGAAGCTTGCGAAGAAATTGGCCAAATATGAAAAATCCTACATGAAGTACTGGAAAACCCGAGACAATGGTCAGTAACAGCTGCATGAAGAAAAGGAGTACAAACCCATATAATGCCCAACACGCTGCTTGGCAATTTTACTGCTATGTAGTACGGCATTCTCTGCTTCGGTAATGTGTTAAGGTAGTATAAGCCCGCTGCGTGCACTAATCTTGGAGCTGCGGAGTTCAAGGGTGTTGTTACAGCTCCATTGTCCCCGGACTCAGTGCTTTAGTCCAACCCAAAGCGATATCTCACATATTGACACAAAGTGGGCCACAACGACCAAACATGTATCGATGCAGACGGTGTCGGCGACTACCAGCGACGTCGAAGGTTGGGTTGCTTCTTCCGTGCAACTGGGGTTCTATGCGTTGCAACGTCGTCGCTTGTGTACATCATAGCCTCCACTGTTTCCCTCTTCATCAGTTGCAATATTTCTTGCAACTCGACTGCATGATATACTTAACATGGAGAGAGTGAGTCATTTAGAAGGAGTAAAGTCATTGTTGCGTTCGACAAGCCCGTACTTCTCCTTTCTTAGCATTGCAGCAGATCAGGTGCTCCAGCAGATCGCACTCTACCCTCTTCACTTTGCATGATCAGTCTAGTCTCAACCTCAGCACAGACACGTTAGAGCCAGTAAGCGTCCATGATGCTCATCTGTTGGCAAGCATACCCACTTAATAACGTGCTTCACATCGTGGTTCATCAACTGTCACTACTTTGTCTCCCCCTCTCCGTTGTTTATGTGCCATTTTCAATCATCTAAATCTCCTTACAAAGCTTATTCTTTTCAATCTGAAGTACCTGCATCACAGGTCATAAGAGTAGAAGATCACAGGTCTATTCCTTTGTTTACTACGTGCATTCATATCGAAACAAAAGCATCGGACATGTTCACTACAGCAATTAGCACCACGTGATCAATCATTTCGAAACAAATCGTCTACGTCTTTTCCATGAGGTTTTATTCCCTTCTTTCTCTCAGAAATGTTTTCATTGGTATTGAGACTACTGCATACCAACAAAATTGCATCTTTTGGTAGTTTTATGACCAAGAGAGATCAGTTGGCATGATACGTGACAGGAAATACTTTCAAAGCAAAGATTCTAATTCGCAACCTTTGAAAATTCACAGTCCAGTTTATTTTCATCATGGTATCGGTAATACTTTGTAAAACCTGGTCGGATAACTTGAGAAATACATCGTAACGAATGGCTTGAGTTTTCTGCCCTGATGATTTTGCTGCTTCATCTAAACACGTCCTTAAAATACTTTCGTCACGGTGTATTTGGTCGGTAGGATTGTGTAGAAAGGGTCATCACACCAACAACAACCCTTTAAAAACAAGTCTATTCTAGTGGTATATTCACTACTAAAGAGTTAGTTGGCCATTGGCAATGGCTGAGGCTGATTAGATAGACCTGAACTTACCCATGATAGATTTGATGGAAGAAAACAGGTCTGGTCGGTGAGTGCTCCAGTAATTTGTCCATCACCACTGGTCTGTCTAGTAGTACTAGCCATGATACCGATTTGACATATTTCTTATCTGTAATAATTCAGCTTACACTTTGCGCAAACAGTAGCGATACCAAGTGCTGAATATTTTCTAGGACTGATCTGTTCTCCTCCATACGGACGACAGGCTGTTCCCAAACTAAACCCATTCCTTCACATATTTCATAAGATGAAGATTAATTATCTCGCCCATGGAAGTGCTCATAGCATCCAATTCAACTATGAACGATTAGTACCAGTGATCTTAATGATTTGTCTCGAATTTCTGATCCAACTCGGAACCTCAACGACTCTAAACAAGGAAAGAGATGACCTTACTAGTGCTAGTTCATACTTGTTTGTTTCTCAGAACCAAATTCATTCGAAAACTCGCTTCCTACCTGAGACTCGTGGTGCAATTCATTCATTCATGCGTCTCACCGTCTTTCTTGCCTTCCTCGTGGTCACGCTTGTCGTAAACTGCAGCAGCTTTGTCAGCGCCGAACGTAACGCTAATGATGACAATTTCGCTGAGCGAAAAGTTCGTTTATTAAGTGAAGAGGGAGAAGTCGAAGAGGAAAGAAATCCTAATGCTGAAGCTTTAGTTGAGGAGCAGGGTTTTTTTACCCGCATTGCCAATATTTTCAAGTCGTCGAAAAGAAAATGTTGTTCCTGAGGCCGAAGCCCTAGTGGCGTCTCGGGGAAAGTTTTTTGAAGAGTTTAAGAGCGCATCTGAAAAGGAACTAAAGAAAGTGAAAAATCAACTGCCTAAATTGCTGAAGAAGTACGGCATCAACGAGGAAAAGTATTACCAAAATGATGTGAATGAAAGGCTGAAGTTTTCCTTGGCCTTCATACGTCACAACAAAAAGTCTCCAATGATGAAAACTCTCCAGATACTAATTGGTATTGTCGGGATCTGGTTGGTCATTTACGTTATCTTGCGCTTGACACATAGACATGACAACCCAGTTCACTCTACGGCAACGGTCGACTTAAAATCCTCAGATTCTGGCTCTATTTAGGAGTTTTCAAGCTTCCATGGATTGTACATACGTATGCTATACTTCTTTCTTCCTCTACCAATAGTTGATGAATCTGCGGCATACTTGGAGAGTTTAATGGTGTGCCGGTCTTCAGCTTTTGTTGACTATGGATGACTCTTGGATTGCTGGAAAGATGGCCGTCCCAGTAGATAGCGTATGTCTAAACTTGTTAATGACTGTGTTTCGACATAGCTGCTTATTACATTAACAAACTATCAATACTCTTTTGTATTCAATTGTATTAGAAGTGCGTTTGGTTCAATTTTATGCTGCAGTAGCAATACTGCTGTCGAATCTACCTACATCTGCTGCAATTCGAAATGCTACTCAGGTCCACAAAAGCTCTTGTAGCTGAACCAGTTCCTGTATCCTTCGCGGTGTCTTCACATAAATAAAATAGATTGCCAAGGTTCGTTTAGGTCCGATAGCATTGACACACCAAAATCCTCGAACACGACTTCGTGGAACGTGATTAGAAGACCAATGCTGTAAGCGATCCAAGTACTCTTCAATATCATCTTCTAGTCTGCAAAAATGATCAAGAGATCGTCCCGCTTGTCTTCAACTCCCGTCGGCAATTCCGTTGAGTGATTGCTTCCACTTTAGAATCGTAAAGGCATCGCAGCACTTCATCTCTTTATCATGTCCACATGTGGTAGTCCAACGGAACCATACAAGTACCCCGCAATCCTTCAGTATGAATTATAGTACACCCGGAAAAGACCCAGGCATGATAAAGTGTCTTCAACAACACTGTCTTCTTGTAGCAGCTTGATTGATGAAGTCTGATCCTGCCACGGCTGCCACGCATTTACATGCTTCTTCAAATTACATTGCAACTGCGATAGGTGTCCACAGATTGGATGCTCCACTGTCACGGTCTCGTCGCAAAATGTCGTGATGTGTCGCGCCTCACTGCATTTCATATTTGCCTTGTGACCACAGGCACGAATGTACACCACTTCACGACTGCATTGGATATTGAGCTCGCAATTACGATACTTGCTAGAATCACCCTCTTGCAAATTTCCAACGGATCAACATCTTCCATCTTCTTCAACCATTGTGCGACCTTATCCTGGAGTCTTTTTCCTTCAAAACACGTCGTAGAGTATTCATGACCGCATTCCGGATTCGTCAACACAACTTGTTCCTGGCCGCGCGACGGACTTTGCGCAAGCTCAAATGCCCGCTCACATCTGACCATCTCAAAGTGGCCACAACGACGTTGAAACTTTACTGTCTGCTTGCAAATAGTCTTTGGAGCCATACGTGTTGCCTTCTTGGACGACGCCAATTGTCGCGCACGACTCGCCAGACCATTTCTTTAGCGTTTCTGCTGTCGAGCAAGACGCAGCCATCTCGTGGCTGCATCGAGGCAATGACATCCTGACTTTCTCCTTGCATACAAACTTACGCATTCCGCTGGCGCAGTCCTGACGGTCGTGACATGATAGTGATATCGTGTGCTGACAAGGCGGTGTGAACTCAACCTTTTCAATGCATAAGGGCGCAAGCTTTTTCGTGTATCGATCAAACTCGCTGCACGTGCATTTCAGAACGCGTTTGCACTCCGAGTACTCGTGCGGTGCGATAGCCTCTTTGTTGCACACCAACCATGACCTCCGTCCTGCCACGATTTCACTGTGTGAGTAGCATGTCATGTTCTGGTTGTGGCCACAGGGCAAACTGACTTCCACTCGAATATTACATTGGTACTTCTCCAAAGCTTTATCAATGTACATTCCTCGCGCAGAAGCCGTCACATTGGAGCACACCAGTTCTCGAGGGTGACGACTGCAAGGCGACTCGACCTTCACATGACACTGTTGATTGTGTTTCTCTACGTCAGGCTAGTGACACATCAGCCCACACTCATGAGAACATGAGACACCCAGTCTAGTAAGTACTCTCATGTAGCTAGCTACCTTTCTTCTGTGTCCGTCACATTTGATAGAGTTGCGATAGCTGTGGTAGTCTTCAAGGTCTACCGAGCACACTACAGTGCAAAATCTAAGCTTCAAGTCTCGCTCTTCTTTTGCAACAGCTACAGACGTTCGATGTTCAGGGCAGCAAATCGGAAGCTCACGACCGAGATGCGGTCCGCTATACGTCGTACACTCGGATTGCTCATGTTGTCAGACTGCGTCTTTCTTTAAGAGCCCCAACGTCTTCTGCCAATGTGTAGTCTCGCCGAAGTAATCGACATTTCCAACAACATACATCCCCAAGCGTGCTCGACTCAGCAAGACAATCATCCGATTTTGAAGTTTCACGAAAGGCGTGCGAGACTTGCCATCAATTACGAGTGAGATAACGACAATGTCAGCTTCATCGCCTTGAAAACGATCTACCGTTGATACAATGCTGGAGCTGGTCGTGAATCTCGTCCTTTAGTCTTCATACATAGCCCGTACGTGTTCATTAGCATTCTCCTCATGAGCATCAATTGTCCTTTGTACGGAGTGAGCACAGCAATTGACTGAGGAGGCACTCCACAATGAACTAAATAATACACCAACCTACACGTCATTTTTGCTTCCTGCTGGTTTACACGGGACAAACCGACCGATGCTCGCTCGTGGGAACCACAATGTGTCCAGAAAAATACGTGTGGTGATACGCCCGGAACCTCGCGGCCGCCTCCTTCACATGCATCAATCAAGAAGCGGCACGCTTCCTCTAGACTTACATCCAATGACTTTTGAGCCACAAGTTTCGTGATCTTCAATCGTTGTAATCTCGACGTAAAAGTTTCGAGTGAGGTCGCAGATGTTCTTGCGCATTCGACGCTGGATTGATAATACAGACGACGGAACTTCAATTCCTTGTGGAGCACTGATCATTTGCTCAAACATCGAAATGTTAATCTTGTTCGCTCGCTCGAAGTCGATTCGGGCCCATTACGGACGGCTGCAGCTGCATATGATCTCCGATCTTTTCCAGTTTTCGTGTAGATGAGCTAAAGCATGAAACAAGGAGAGGCTCCATCACTTCTGATGCCTCCTCCGCCAAAATTGCGAACGGGTTGGTCGTTCGAATAGCCTCCAATCTGGACACACAACCTGTTATTGTACCTCCAATAATAACAGCTTTGCCCTCGTAAACGCGAGAATTTGCTCGGAGAACCTCATGCTGTAGTTCAACTTTCAGACATTCAAGTCTTTTGACGAACACATGCTGTAAGCAAGCATTGAGATCGCCCCGAAGGCTCAATACTGGATAAAGAGCGTTCCAGCGTTCTTCTGTCGTCATCTCCCAGTGCCATTCGCAAGGAACTGTTAGTTGCTGGCTCGATAATCTCCATGAAGATTTTTCCTCTTCGTAAATTTCTTCTATTGTCTCAGTAGTATCCTCAAATTCATCGTTTTCAACCTCATAAACATCGCGGAGATGCTGCAAGTGCTCAAACTCCTCTACTTCGTCTTCATTGTCGTATTGAACAGCGTCCACGAAGTCCTCAACATCACTATCGGAGCTGCCCATGTCATCATTCTCTGATTTGCTTTGTAACCTTCCAGGCCGTAAGCAATTGATTTCTTGATCTTGGGAGGCAGCAAAAGAGGGGGATCCAATGTTTGATCTACTGTCGACTTGACTTTAACAATCTTATATGCGCTAGCATTGACGTCAAATTCATCATTGGACACCAAAAGCTTAGCAAATTGTGTATCAAGCAGGTTAGCACGACCCACATGGTCTCTGCAGTAACGCGTACCAGACAAAGACTTTCCTTTGCATGTCAAATGCTAAGATGTTATCATTTGACGAATTGAACCTACAGTTCAGTATAGCAACGAATCATCCATTCGATCAGATCAGATCTATCTCTCTTACTGATTAAAACCACATTGAGGAATTTTCTTTGCGAGTAGATAGCACCCGTGTCTGGCGAGTTTGACGACGACTATTGCGTATGATCTCCATCGTCACGATCGCTTTTTGCAAAAATTCCGCCAGTTGCATCGTTTTGTCGGCAGCACGCAGCAACGGCGGGAAGCCGAGTTTCTTGCATACCAAGTTTCCTAGCAATCGAGCGCAACGTCCGTTGCCATCGTGGAAAGGGTGAATGTAAAATACGAGCACTGCGAACGCATAGTAAGCGCAGAGTAGAGGGCGATGCGTCCAAGTATTGACATCATTGAGCTTATGGATGAAATTGTCGAGCGCGTCTTCAATCTCTCCAGCTGGAATGAATACCCGATAAATCCGAGATGATGCGTATCCGACGGCAAAAGTAGTTCGAAGAATTCCAGCTTGACCGCTTGAGACCGGAAGGAGACACTGGTGCAACGCGAAGAGATGGTCACGCGTAATTACACATGACGTGTCGTGCATAATCTTATTGATTACATCCAGCAGCGTTATTCGAGGGTTGTCGGTTAATGATCTTCTGCAGGTGACCGGAGTATCATGTGCAAAGCCGATGGCGTCATACAAATCACTGACAGTAAATGCGACTGATTTACCTTCGTCGTAACAATCAGCAAGTTCGGCCTTCCGCTTGAAAGTGTCATACTCACCCTCAAGTTTCTCTAGCAGCTTTATAACGTAAACGATAAGGAATCATAGTGTACTAGTCCATAAATCACAAAGGTGACAACTAACCTGCTCAATCTGCCGATACACTGGCGACTTGGGGCTTTCGATGTGACCAAAAAACTTCTCGCCTACAACACAAACAACAGCTCAGCACGACATCAAGAGTTTTAACACAACATCAACAATTGCCTTGTGGACTCTCGTAAGTTTTGGTCTGAAATTGAGGCGTTCTTTCCGGAGCGGGTGTTGCTCGAGTTGGCTCTCGACCCGGGTGAATGTGCCCTGCAAAATACCGCGATTATATACATCGAGACCTTGTGGTTTGAAGCATCTACATCATGCGTACCTGGAACGTTATACTTGCACAGGACACATTCGAGGGCTGCAGCTGGTGTAGACTCGGCAGGAGGTAGTGTTGTCTGACCAGCATTTGTCTCCGTAACGTCGGTGTCACCGGAGCTGACGCCACCCGCAGATTGCTTCTTAACGCATCGCTCTACTTTGTCGAAGAGCTCGTGGACATCAGCGAACAGTTCTGCCTCGGTGGGAGTTACAGCATAGAGATACTGCACATAGTACTTGACATGACCCAGCAAGGCCCATTTGGTGCGAATCTTGCCGTCGCACAGCTCAACCAAGTGCTTCAGAAATGAGTTGCCGCTATGCTCGTGATATTCACCACGGTTATGATCGCGTAGTACATCATTAAAAAGCCCTTTATGTAGCAGCATCACTAATGAGCGCAAGATCGGAACCACTGCTGCGTGGTCTTCGCTACTCACCGAGGTAGCCAGCGTGTCAACCATGTCAAACAATCCCCATTCAAGCGCGAGCGGAGTAGTATCACAAACATTCACTACCAAGAATACGATAGTAAGTAAGACGTAACAAACGCAGAAACATGCCGCAGCACTCACAGTCTTCTTTGCGCAAAGTGGATAAGTCCGTTAACTCTCCACTCGCTGTGATAGCGTCATCCAGAATTTGACAGTACTGGAATCGAGGAATACGCCCCACACCAATGTTACAAGAGGCGGCATTAAGCAATTCCTGTCGAAGTGTGGAGAGCATCACCACCGAGCGAATAACCCGCTGGATGCGCTGCAATTCATGCCTGTCTTCAGTCATAGCGCGGTCGGAGGACAAAGTCAGCACTGCAACCGTCGACATCTTGCAAATCATTGGGATAGAGACAACTGTTTGAATTCCTGCTCGTCGAGCATGCGGAAGTAGGAAGAACTGCGACTGTTGCACGGCGTGTAAATCGAGCCACTCTGGGTGCTGCCCGCTGAAGACGTTTCCAATGTGACCCTGGCCAGGATCAATCATTACAGTAGACGACACCTTTCGGTACATCTGAATAGCATCAGCCCGTAAGGATGCCATAGTAATAGGACGGTTGTTAGATGCTCTTGGAGACAGCACTAATTTACTCTGTCGTTCAAAAGCCAAGCAGCTCTTTTGCCAGAGACTATGCGCAACAAGAATACAGTTGCCGTCGTCGTCTAGCACTGGACAATGCACTTGACCAATCAGCCATGGGTCCTGCGCACATTAACATGAGCAGCAGCATAACCAGCTACATCCCGTTAGAATTGTTAGCCACTTACCCGTGTGATAACTCGAAGCGTAAAATCCAGAGCTCCAGCCAGCGTTGCAGTGTCGATGTCGTCGACAGCTACTGTAGCTTTGAAACCACTCTCTGTAGCACGATTTGCAATAAGAAACTTGGCCAACTCGTTGTGAGCGAAATTCACGGCATCCGACAAGGGCGAGGACCCCCATCGATCTAGCGAGTTCACATTGGCGCCACAATCCACTAAATGTTTGGCAATTTGCAAATGGCCTTCGGCACTAGCGACATGAAGCAACGTCCGCAGGTCATAATCTTCTATATCCGGTCGCACTATTTCTGGCACTAATCGTTGAAGTTTTTCAGTATCGCCTTGCTTCGTTACTCGAAACGCTAATGCAACATTCTGCTCCTCTTCGCTGCTCATAATTTCATGACTCGTGCGTTCCTTCTTCTGATACGCACGTAGCATCTCAGAAATGGCAAACTCATGCTTTTCCTGTGCAATGCTAATTGGTAACCTTCCTTTTGCGTCCACCTGGTTAATGTTTACCCCAGCGGACAATAGCAACTCAATGACTCCTACTTGACCCTTCTCGATAGCAACATGTAGCGACGTACGTCCAAGCTCATCTACTACATTAACTTCCATGCCGCTAAGCCATGATCGCTTTATTTGCTCAATATTTCCCTCGTTTACGGCTTGAAAATAAGTCTTGATATCATCAACATTCGAGTGATGGCTACAAATGAGTCAGCAGACACAACAACAACAACCATCTATTAATCTGTCAGCTAAAACTTCATCGTTGCCATCGCAAATATTCCACTTGTAACAAGCCAAACCGTCTCGTCTTCCTCGTGTTGCCACTTGACATCGCATTATCTTCAATCAATGAAAAACGGCCGTAATGTTCACGTTCCAGTACCCGCACAATGGCGATATTCTTCGTCTCCATTGCATAATCAATGGGGGAGCGTCCCCATCGATCCAATGCATTGACGTTGGCTCCACACTGCAATAAGTATCGCGTCATCTCTACCTCTTTCTTACTTACGGCAAGATGCAACGGCGTTCTAATGGCAAAAGTAACAATAATAAGTAACCAGAAACAAAACCTCATGATACAAAAAAAAATACGGCAACTAATTGACTTGCTACCGCATATTCGAATCCAATGCGTTAATATCAGCAGCATGTTCCTCATGCAATCGGCGTATTGCTTCTAAATTGCCTTCAGATGCGGCCGAGCACATGGCAATAGAGTGCGAAGAGACATCATCGAGACTTACGTTGGGCTTCATGATGCAGTCGTAGTCTTTTTTATGGTCGTTTTTAGTACGAATTACACAAACTTCAAGTGAGATAAAGGGTCCTTAATCCTTAAGTAATGTGATGTACATTACTTTACATTCAACTTTTTTTCCGGATAGTAGAACTAAATCTAGATTCAGTCTGATAAAATAGTCCACAATAGGATTAAATATTATGTGGACCATTTTGGATGAATGGATACAACACTGGAGGAAAATCTAGGATGTCCTGAAGATGATCGAGCCAGCAACTAACAGTTCCTTGCGAAAGGCACTGGGAGATGACGACAGAAGAACGCTGGAACGCTCTTTATTCAGTATTGAACCTTCGGGGCGATCTCAATGCTTGCTTACAGCATGTGTTCGTCAAAAGACTTGAATGTCTGAAAGTTGAACTACAGCATGAGGTTCTCCGAGCAAATTCTCGCGTTTACGAGGGCAAAGCTGTTATTATTGGAGGTACAATAACAGGTTTTGTGTCCAGATTGGAGGCTATTCGAACGACCAACCCGTTCGCAATTTTGGCGGAGGAGGCATCAGAAGTGATGGAGCCTCTCCTTGTTTCATGCTTTAGCTCATCTACACGAAAACTGGAAAAGATCGGAGATCATATGCAGCTGCAGCCGTCCGTAATGGGCCCGAATCGACTTCGAGCGAGCGAACAAGATTAACATTTCGATGTTTGAGCAAATGATCAGTGCTCCACAAGGAATTGAAGTTCCGTCGTCTGTATTATCAATCCAGCGTCGAATGCGCAAGAACATCTGCGACCTCACTCGAAACTTTTACGTCGAGATCACAACGATTGAAGATCACGAAACTTGTGGCTCAAAAGTCATTGGATGTAAGTCTAAAGGAAGCGTGCCGCTTCTTGATTGATGCATGTGAAGGAGGCGGCCGCGAGGTTCCGGGCGTATCACCACACGTATTTTTCTGGACACATTGTGGTTCCCACGAGCGAGCATCGGTCGGTTTGTCCCGTGTAAACCAGCAGGAAGCAAAAATGACGTGTAGGTTGGTGTATTATTTAGTTCATTGTGGAGTGCCTCCTCAGTCAATTGCTGTGCTCACTCCGTACAAAGGACAATTGATGCTCATGAGGAGAATGCTAATGAACACGTACGGGCTATGTATGAAGACTAAAGGACGAGATTCACGACCAGCTCCATCTTGCATTGTATCAACGGTAGATCGTTTTCAAGGCGATGAAGCTGACATTGTCGTTATCTCACTCGTAATTGATGGCAAGTCTCGCACGCCTTTGTGAACTCACCGTGAAACTTCAAAATCGGATGATTGTCTTGCTGAGTCGAGCACGCTTGGGGATGTATGTTGTTGGAAATGTCGATTACTTCGGCGAGACTACACATTGGCAGAAGACGTTGGGGCTCTTAAAGAAAGACGCAGTCTGACAACATGAGCAATCCGAGTGTACGACGTATAGCGGACCGCATATCGGTCGTGAGCTTCCGATTTGCTGCCCTGAACATCGAACGTCTGTAGCTGTTGCAAAAGAAGAGCGAGACTTGAAGCTTAGATTTTGCACTGTAGTGTGCTCGGTAGACCTTGAAGACTACCACAGCTATCGCAACTCTATCAAATGTGACGGACACAGAAGAAAGGTAGCTAGCTACATGAGAGTACTTACTAGACTGGGTGTCTCATGTTCTCATGAGTGTGGGCTGATGTGTCACTAGCCTGACGTAGAGAAACACAATCAACAGTGTCATGTGAAGGTCGAGTCGCCTTGCAGTCGTCACCCTCGAGAACTGGTGTGCTCCAATGTGACGGCTTCTGCGCGAGGAATGTACATTGATAAAGCTTTGGAGAAGTACCAATGTAATATTCGAGTGGAAGTCAGTTTGCCCTGTGGCCACAACCAGAACATGACATGCTACTCACACAGTGAAATCGTGGCAGGACGGAGGTCATGGTTGGTGTGCAACAAAGAGGCTATCGCACCGCACGAGTACTCGGAGTGCAAACGCGTTCTGAAATGCACGTGCAGCGAGTTTGGTCGATCCATGCATTGAAAAGATTGAGTTCACACCGCCTTGTCAGCAGGATATCACTATCATGTCACGACCGTCAGGACTGCGCCAGCGGAATGCGTAAGTTTGTATGCAAGGAGAAAGTCAGGATGTCATTGCCTCGATGCAGCCACGAGATGGCTGCGTCTTGCTCGACAGCAGAAACGCTAAAGAAATGGTCTGGCGAGTCGTGCGCGACAATTGGCGTCGTCCAAGAAGGCAACACGTATGGCTCCAAAGACTATTTGCAAGCAGACAGTAAAGTTTCAACGTCGTTGTGGCCACTTTGAGATGGTCAGATGTGAGCGGGCATTTGAGCTTGCGCAGAGTCCGTCGCGCGGCCAGGAACAAGTTGTGTTGACGAATCCGGAATGCGGTCATGAATACTCTACGACGTGTTTTGAAGGAAAAAGACTCCAGGAAAAGGTCGCACAATGGTCGAAGAAGATGGAAGATGTTGATCCGTTGGAAATTTGCAAGAGGGTGATTCTAGCAAGTATCGTAATTGCGAGCTCAATATCCAATGCAGTCGTGAAGTGGTGTACATTCGTGCCTGTGGTCACAAGGCAAACATGAAATGCAGTGAGGCGCGACACATCACGACATTTTGCGACGAGACCGTGACAGTGGAGCATCCAATCTGTGGACACCTATCGCAGTTGCAATGTAATTTGAAGAAGCATGTAAATGCGTGGCAGCCGTGGCAGGATCAGACTTCATCAATCAAGCTGCTACAAGAAGACAGTGTTGTTGAAGACACTTTATCATGCCTGGGTCTTTTCCGGGTGTACTATAATTCATACTGAAGGATTGCGGGATACTTGTATGGTTCCGTTGGACTACCACGTGTGGACATGATAAAGAGATGAAGTGCTGCGATGCCTTTACGATTCTAAAGTGGAAGCAATCACTCAACGGAATTGCCGACGGGAGTTGAAGACAAGCGGGACGATCTCTTGATCATTTTTGCAGACTAGAAGATGATATTGAAGAGTACTTGGCTCGCTTACAGCATTGGTCTTCTAATCACGTTCCACGAAGTCGTGTTCGAGGATTTTGGTGTGTCAATGCTATCGGACCTAAACGAACCTTGGCAATCTATTTTATTTATGTGAAGACACCGCGAAGGATACAGGAACTGGTTCAGCTACAAGAGCTTTTGTGGACCTGAGTAGCATTTCGAATTGCAGCAGATGTAGATAGATTCGACAGCAGTATTGCTACTGCAGCATAAAATTGAACCAAACGCACTTCTAATACAATTGAATACAAAAGAGTATTGATAGTTTGTTAATGTAATAAGCAGCTATGTCGAAACACAGTCATTAACACGTTTAGACATACGCTATCTACTGGGACGGCCATCTTTCCAGCAATCCAAGAGTCATCCATAGTCAACAAAAGCTGAAGACCGGCACACCATTAAACTCTCCAAGTATGCCGCAGATTCATCAAATATAGATGGGAAGAAGTATACGGTACGTACCATCCATGAAAGTCAGACAGCATTGCATAGTAGCTGAGAAGTTACTAAGCAGCGCCCGAAGACGTCGTGCCGACTGTATTCGTAGTAGAGTGGACCGGCTTGCTACTTGACATGTTGAAAAAGGGTGTACACGGCGGCAATTCCAAGAACACCAGCAGCGATTGCTATCATCCTGTTTTTGGTGACAAACGACGAGGCGCTTTTAAGAGTTTTGACAAGTAACTTGTCAAGTTCACCGCGGTCCGCTTTCTTAATCAAGTTCAGATCAATCATAAATTTGTTCCCAATACCATTTCTGGTCCTCAATGGGTATATCCAGCAGATCTTTAGCGGTCGTAGTTTCCTTTGGATTCTTGCCCAGATGTGTATCACCAGGTTCGTTATGCGCGGAAGTGACCGCTTGTGGTGTCTCGGCATTTGGTTCTTTATGCGTGGCGTGTGGTGTGTTGGCATTTGTTTCATCATGCGTGGCGTGTGGTATCTCGGCTTTTGGTTCGTTTTGCGTGGAAGCGATGGAATGAGATGTCTGGGGATTGGTATCTTCATGCGCCTTTACGATCGCAACCACTTTCGACCTATCACCCGCTGCTGCAACATCCTTGTCGACAGTAGCCGCATTCTCAGCGATTGGTGTTCCTTTCTGTTGGGAGAACTTGCTGTTACTCTGTGATTCAGCATTGATAGCGTTCATTATAGTATTCGTAGCTTTCTTCTCTTCCTCAGCTACTTCATTAATCCTAGCGACAGCCTATGTAACGGCCAAATCTACTGCTTTGAAGGTACCCTCTACGTTGCGTACGACAGCAGCTGCCTCAGCAGCAGCAGTCTCTGGACCTCTTTCTTCAGTTGAGCTCAGCGAAATTGTCATCATTAGCGTTACGTTCGGCGCTGACAAAGCTGCTGCAGTTTACGACAAGCGTGACCACGAGGAAGGCAAGAAAGACGGTGAGACGCATGAATGAATGAATTGCACCACGAGTCTCAGATAGGAAGCGAGTTTTCGAATGAATTTGGTTCTGAGAAACAAACAAGTATGAACTAGCACTAGTAAGGTCATCTCTTTCCTTGTTTAGAGTCGTTGAGGTTCCGAGTTGGATCAGAAATTCGAGACAAATCATTAAGATCACTGGTACTAATCGTTCATAGTTGAATTGGATGCTATGAGCACTTCCATGGGCGAGATAATTAATCTTCATCTTATGAAATATGTGAAGGAATGGGTTTAACTTGGGAACAGCCTGTCGTCCGTATGGAGGAGAACAGATCAGTCCTAGAAAATATTCAGCACTTGGTATCGCTACTGTTTGCGCAAAGTGTAAGCTGAATTATTACAGATAAGAAATATGTCAAATCGGTATCATGGCTAGTACTACTAGACAGACCAGTGGTGATGGACAAATTACTGGAGCACTCACCGACCAGACCTGTTTTCTTCCATCAAATCTATCATGGGTAAGTTCAGGTCTATCTAATCAGCCTCAGCCATTGCCAATGGCCAACTAACTCTTTAGTAGTGAATATACCACTAGAATAGACTTGTTTTTAAAGGGTTGTTGTTGGTGTGATGACCCTTTCTACACAATCCTACCGACCAAATACACCGTGACGAAAGTATTTTAAGGACGTGTTTAGATGAAGCAGCAAAATCATCAGGGCAGAAAACTCAAGCCATTCGTTACGATGTATTTCTCAAGTTATCCGACCAGGTTTTACAAAGTATTACCGATACCATGATGAAAATAAACTGGACTGTGAATTTTCAAAGGTTGCGAATTAGAATCTTTGCTTTGAAAGTATTTCCTGTCACGTATCATGCCAACTGATCTCTCTTGGTCATAAAACTACCAAAAGATGCAATTTTGTTGGTATGCAGTAGTCTCAATACCAATGAAAACATTTCTGAGAGAAAGAAGGGAATAAAACCTCATGGAAAAGACGTAGACGATTTGTTTCGAAATGATTGATCACGTGGTGCTAATTGCTGTAGTGAACATGTCCGATGCTTTTGTTTCGATATGAATGCACGTAGTAAACAAAGGAATAGACCTGTGATCTTCTACTCTTATGACCTGTGATGCAGGTACTTCAGATTGAAAAGAATAAGCTTTGTAAGGAGATTTAGATGATTGAAAATGGCACATAAACAACGGAGAGGGGGAGACAAAGTAGTGACAGTTGATGAACCACGATGTGAAGCACGTTATTAAGTGGGTATGCTTGCCAACAGATGAGCATCATGGACGCTTACTGGCTCTAACGTGTCTGTGCTGAGGTTGAGACTAGACTGATCATGCAAAGTGAAGAGGGTAGAGTGCGATCTGCTGGAGCACCTGATCTGCTGCAATGCTAAGAAAGGAGAAGTACGGGCTTGTCGAACGCAACAATGACTTTACTCCTTCTAAATGACTCACTCTCTCCATGTTAAGTATATCATGCAGTCGAGTTGCAAGAAATATTGCAACTGATGAAGAGGGAAACAGTGGAGGCTATGATGTACACGAGCGACGACGTTGCAACGCATAGAACCCCAGTTGCACGGAAGAAGCAACCCAACCTTCAACGTCGCTGGTAGTCGCCGACACCGTCTGCATCGATACATGTTTGGTCGTTGTGGCCGAGCTTTGTGTCAATATGTGAGATGTCGCTTTGGGTTGGACTAAAGCACTGAGTCCGGGGACAATGGAGCTGTAACAACACCCTTGAACTCCGCAGCTCCAAGATTAGTGCACGCAGCGGGCTTATACTACCTTAACACATTACCGAAGCAGAGAATGCCGTACTACATAGCAGTAAAATTGCCAAGCAGCGTGTTGGGCATTATATGGGTTTGTACTCCTTTTCTTCATGCAGCTGTTACTGACCATTGTCTCGGGTTTTCCAGTACTTCATGTAGGATTTTTCATATTTGGCCAATTTCTTCGCAAGCTTCTTACGTTGGCTTTTCTTAATAGGCTCGCCATTCTCGAGCGTTGGGAATCCATTCGTGTCAAACATGTTGAATCGGTCGGCAAACTCCGGCGATTTCCTGAACAAATCTGAGGGAGCAATCTGCATCAGCATCTCAAGCTCCTGCTGTTTGTTCCGCAGTTCTAGCGCTGCCTCGCCATCAGTTTTTATTTCCTGTTCATCTGATTCTACTCTTCGAACTGCTTCTCGTTCTTCAAGCGAGAGCAGCTTAAACACGGAGGATCCTGGCGCAAGATCCTCGACTTGAATACCTAACTGAGGTAGCTCCTCGTTGCGCAATGTGTCACATAACGCAAGAATGCGCATGTTGCCTGACTGATTAAGGTTACGCAAAGCTTCTTCTCGCACAGCAGCACGAAATTTGATCAAAGAGTAAAGTAGAGCCTCCTGTTCGTCCCTGCTAACCAATTCGTCCCTTTCATTCAGCTGCTGCTTTTTGACTGAAACAGTGAATCGACGGCGCATCATGGCAGAAAACTCGGCATGAAGTCCCTCCAGTCCGAAAAGGTCAAGCACCTCAAGCACGTAACTAGTCAATGCAATTAGCACCTCCTCAGGAGCCTGATCATCGCCTCGGTGTGCCAGCAAGTACGTGTTTCCACGCGATATCAGGTTCAATACAAGTGATAGGGCGCGTGGCGTGTCTAAATCATCCAATAAACCTTCGTCCACCTGTGCTTGGGTCATGAACAGTGCGTCTAACACTTCCAGGTCTTGTTTCTCACAGCGTTTTGACTTGATTCCTTTAATTTTAGTATCGCTGCTACAAATATCACGATTACTGCCATATGCCATAACATTTCGAAAAAAGCATCTCAAACGAGTGATTAATTGCATCACGTACTCGATCCTCCGAGTAGATTAAATTTGAGCGGTACTTAAACTGCAGGCAAATTAGGCGGAAATGATCCGCCGTGTGTCCATCATTCAAAAAATCCTTCACTGAAATGAAGTTCTTCAGCGACTTGGACATTTTCCTTCCGCGAATATACAAGTGTCCAAAGTGCACAAAGTGTTTGCACCACTCTTTATCATGCTCACACTGAGGTCCATAGTTATGCGCTTCACACTGTGCAATCTCATTGTTGTGATGAGGAAAACGCAGGTCCACTCCACCCGTGTGCACATCCAGTTTATCTCCGAGCACATGATGCGTCATTGCCGAACATTCAATATGCCTGTAGAAAGGGTCATCACACCAACAACAACCCTTTAAAAACAAGTCTATTCTAGTGGTATATTCACTACTAAAGAGTTAGTTGGCCATTGGCAATGGCTGAGGCTGATTAGATGGACCTGAACTTACCCATGATAGATTTGATGGAAGAAAACAGGTCTGGTCGGTGAGTGCTCCAGTAATTTGTCCATCACCACTGGTCTGTCTAGTAGTACTAGCCATGATACCGATTTGACATATTTCTTATCTGTAATAATTCAGCTTACACTTTGCGCAAACAGTAGCGATACCAAGTGCTGAATATTTTCTAGGACTGATCTGTTCTCCTCCATACGGACGACAGGCTGTTCCCAAGTTAAACCCATTCCTTCACATATTTCATAAGATGAAGATTAATTATCTCGCCCATGGAAGTGCTCATAGCATCCAATTCAACTATGAACGATTAGTACCAGTGATCTTAATGATTTGTCTCGAATTTCTGATCCAACTCGGAACCTCAACGACTCTAAACAAGGAAAGAGATGACCTTACTAGTGCTAGTTCATACTTGTTTGTTTCTCAGAACCAAATTCATTCGAAAACTCGCTTCCTATCTGAGACTCGTGGTGCAATTCATTCATTCATGCGTCTCACCGTCTTTCTTGCCTTCCTCGTGGTCACGCTTGTCGTAAACTGCAGCAGCTTTGTCAGCGCCGAACGTAACGCTAATGATGACAATTTCGCTGAGCTCAACAAAGTCAACGCTCTCCGTGAAGAAAGAGGTCCAGAGACTGCTGCTGCTGAGGCAGCTGCTGAGGCAGCTGCTGTCTTACGCAACGGAGAGGTTACCTTCAAAGCAGAAAATTTGGCTGTTACACAGGCTGTCACTAGGATTAATGAAGTAGCTGAGGAAGAGAAGAAAGCTAAGAATACTATAATGAACGCTATCAATGCTGAATCACAGAGTAACAGCAAGTTCTCCCAACAGAAAGGAACACCAATCGCTGAGAATGCGGCTACTGTCGACAAGGATGTTGCAACAGCGGGTGATAGGTCGAAAGCGGGTCCGATCGTAAAGGGGCATGAAGATACCAATCCCCAGACATCTCATTCCATCGCTTCCACGCAAAACGAACCAAAAGCCGAGATACCACACGCCACGCATAAAGAATCAAATGCCGAGACACCACAAGCGGTCACTTCCGCGCATAACGAACCTGGTGATACACATCTGGGCAAGAATCCAAAGGAAACTGCGGCCTATCAGGCTCTTTTATAAAAATTATTTTACCAATTAATGGATATTGGGAAGAAGCATAACATTGATATGAGCTTGGTTTTTGATGCGGACCGCGGTGAACTTGACAAGTTACTTGTCAAAACTCTTAAAAGCGCCTCGTCGTCTGTCGCCAAGAACAGGATGATAGCAATCGCTGCTGGTGTTCTTGGAGTTGCCGCCGTGTACTCCCTTTTCAACTTGCCAATTAGCAAGCCGGTCCACTCTACTACGAATACAGTCGGCACGACGTCTTCGGGCGCTGCTTAGTAACTTCTCAGCTACTATGCAATGCTGTCTAACTTTCATGGATGGTACGTACCGTAAACTTCTTCCCATCTATATTTGATGAATCTGCGGCATACTTGGAGAGTTTAATGGTGTGCCGGTCTTCAGCTTTTTTTATTTGGATGACTCTTTGGTTGTGGAAAAAGGCCCTTTAAGATTTTTTTATCTTTTTTTTTTTTTTTTTTTTTTTTTTTTTTTTTTTTTTTTTTTTTTTTTTTTTTTTTTGTTAAAAGGGGGTTGTTTTTGTTTATTTTTTTTTTTTTTTTTTTTTTTTTTTTTTTTTTTTTTTTTTTTTTTTTTTTTTTTTTTTTTTTTTTTTGTTGAAGGGGGTGGTTTTTTTTTTTTTTTTTTTTATTTTTTTTTTTTTTTTTTTGTTGACTATGGATGACTCTTGGATTGCTGGAAAGATGGCCGTCCCAGTAGATAGCGTATGTCTAAACTTGTTAATGACTGTGTTTCGACATTTTTTGACTATGGATGACTCTTGTTTTTTTGAAAAGAGGGCCGTTTGAGTAGATAGTGTATATTTTTATTTTTTTTTTTTTTTTTTTTTTTTTTTTTTTTTTTTTTTTTTTTTTTTTTTTTTTTAAAAAGGGGGTTGGTTGTTAAAAAATTTTTTTTTTTTTTTTTTTTTTTTTTTTTTTTTTTTTTTTTTTTTTTTTTTTTTTTTTTTTTTTTTTTTTTTGTTTGTGGTTTTTTTTTTTTTTTTTTTTTTTTTTCTCTTTCTAATGACTGTGTTTCGACATAGCTGCTTATTACATTAACAAACTATCAATACTCTTTTGTATTCAATTGTATTAGAATTGCGTTTGGTTCAATTTTATGCTGCAGTAGCAATACTGCTGTCGAATCTACCTACATCTGCTGCAATTCGAAATGCTACTCAGGTCCACAAAAGCTCTTGTAGCTGAACCAGTTCCTGTATCCTTCGCGGTGTCTTCACATAAATAAAATAGATTGCCAAGGTTCGTTTAGGTCCGATAGCATTGACACACCAAAATCCTCGAACACGACTTCGTGGAACGTGATTAGAAGACCAATGCTGTAAGCGAGCCAAGTACTCTTCAATATCATCTTCTAGTCTGCAAAAATGATCAAGAGATCGTCCCGCTTGTCTTCAACTCCCGTCGGCAATTCCGTTGAGTGATTGCTTCCACTTTAGAATCGTAAAGGCATCGCAGCACTTCATCTCTTTATCATGTCCACACGTGGTAGTCCAACGGAACCATACAAGTATCCCGCAATCCTTCAGTATGAATTATAGTACACCCGGAAAAGACCCAGGCATGATAAAGTGTCTTCAACAACACTGTCTTCTTGTAGCAGCTTGATTGATGAAGTCTGATCCTGCCACGGCTGCCACGCATTTACATGCTTCTTCAAATTACATTGCAACTGCGATAGGTGTCCACAGATTGGATGCTCCACTGTCACGGTCTCGTCGCAAAATGTCGTGATGTGTCGCGCCTCACTGCATTTCATATTTGCCTTGTGACCACAGGCACGAATGTACACCACTTCACGACTGCATTGGATATTGAGCTCGCAATTACGATACTTGCTAGAATCACCCTCTTGCAAATTTCCAACGGATCAACATCTTCCATCTTCTTCGACCATTGTGCGACCTTATCCTGGAGTCTTTTTCCTTCAAAACACGTCGTAGAGTATTCATGACCGCATTCCGGATTCGTCAACACAACTTGTTCCTGGCCGCGCGACGGACTCTGCGCAAGCTCAAATGCCCGCTCACATCTGACCATCTCAAAGTGGCCACAACGACGTTGAAACTTTACTGTCTGCTTGCAAATAGTCTTTGGAGCCATACGTGTTGCCTTCTTGGACGACGCCAATTGTCGCGCACGACTCGACAGACCATTTCTTTAGCGTTTCTGCTGTCGAGCAAGACGCAGCCATCTCGTGGCTGCATCGAGGCAATGACATCCTGACTTTCTCCTTGCATACAAACTTACGCATTCCGCTGGCGCAGTCCTGACGGTCGTGACATGATAGTGATATCCTGCTGACAAGGCGGTGTGAACTCAATCTTTTCAATGCATGGATCGACCAAACTCGCTGCACGTGCATTTCAGAACGCGTTTGCACTCCGAGTACTCGTGCGGTGCGATAGCCTCTTTGTTGCACACCAACCATGACCTCCGTCCTGCCACGATTTCACTGTGTGAGTAGCATGTCATGTTCTGGTTGTGGCCACAGGGCAAACTGACTTCCACTCGAATATTACATTGGTACTTCTCCAAAGCTTTATCAATGTACATTCCTCGCGCAGAAGCCGTCACATTGGAGCACACCAGTTCTCGAGGGTGACGACTGCAAGGCGACTCGACCTTCACATGACACTGTTGATTGTGTTTCTCTACGTCAGGCTAGTGACACATCAGCCCACACTCATGAGAACATGAGACACCCAGTCTAGTAAGTACTCTCATGTAGCTAGCTACCTTTCTTCTGTGTCCGTCACATTTGATAGAGTTGCGATAGCTGTGGTAGTCTTCAAGGTCTACCGAGCACACTACAGTGCAAAATCTAAGCTTCAAGTCTCGCTCTTCTTTTGCAACAGCTACAGACGTTCGATGTTCAGGGCAGCAAATCGGAAGCTCACGACCGATATGCGGTCCGCTATACGTCGTACACTCGGATTGCTCATGTTGTCAGACTGCGTCTTTCTTTAAGAGCCCCAACGTCTTCTGCCAATGTGTAGTCTCGCCGAAGTAATCGACATTTCCAACAACATACATCCCCAAGCGTGCTCGACTCAGCAAGACAATCATCCGATTTTGAAGTTTCACGCATCCGATTTTGAAGTTTCACGAAAGGCGTGCGAGACTTGCCATCAATTACGAGTGAGATAACGACAATGTCAGCTTCATCGCCTTGAAAACGATCTACCGTTGATACAATGCAAGATGGAGCTGGTCGTGAATCTCGTCCTTTAGTCTTCATACATAGCCCGTACGTGTTCATTAGCATTCTCCTCATGAGCATCAATTGTCCTTTGTACGGAGTGAGCACAGCAATTGACTGAGGAGGCACTCCACAATGAACTAAATAATACACCAACCTACACGTCATTTTTGCTTCCTGCTGGTTTACACGGGACAAACCGACCGATGCTCGCTCGTGGGAACCACAATGTGTCCAGAAAAATACGTGTGGTGATACGCCCGGAACCTCGCGGCCGCCTCCTTCACATGCATCAATCAAGAAGCGGCACGCTTCCTTTAGACTTACATCCAATGACTTTTGAGCCACAAGTTTCGTGATCTTCAATCGTTGTGATCTCGACGTAAAAGTTTCGAGTGAGGTCGCAGATGTTCTTGCGCATTCGACGCTGGATTGATAATACAGACGACGGAACTTCAATTCCTTGTGGAGCACTGATCATTTGCTCAAGCATCGAAATGTTAATCTTTGTTCGCTCGCTCGAAGTCGATTCGGGCCCATTACGGACGGCTGCAGCTGCATATGATCTCCGATCTTTTCCAGTTTTCGTGTAGATGAGCTAAAGCATGAAACAAGGAGAGGCTCCATCACTTCTGATGCCTCCTCCGCCAAAATTGCGAACGGGTTGGTCGTTCGAATAGCCTCCAATCTGGACACAAAACCTGTTATTGTACCTCCAATAATAACAGCTTTGCCCTCGTAAACGCGAGAATTTGCTCGGAGAACCTCATGCTGTAGTTCAACTTTCAGACATTCAAGTCTTTTGACGAACACATGCTGTAAGCAAGCATTGAGATCGCCCCGAAGGTTCAATACTGAATAAAGAGCGTTCCAGCGTTCTTCTGTCGTCATCTCCCAGTGCCTTTCGCAAGGAACTGTTAGTTGCTGGCTCGA